AATAAACATCAGTATATTTGAAATAGAGCATGTTTTTGTGCTGTGGTGGATCTGTACTTACAAAAACTGCTGAGGAAACAAAAGGTAAACCAATGCTTGAGCTTTGTCCATAAGGCTTTAAAGAAGAGGCACACCCCTTTCATTAACTCTCTAAGCACCCTAACAAAGGAAGCTGGAGGTTTTGGATTCATGTTCATTTAGAAGTAAATTACATATAATGTATTATGCTCCGTTTTGTTAACTAATACGTTTGGAATGTATAAGCGGAAAGGTGTGTATCCATACCCATTTGTTATCATTAGTTACTGTATATCAAGGTGCTAAAATGTGCTTTGCTTCTGAGCTCTGTGAAAGAAAGACGTGACGTTTGTGGCTGCTGAACATTGCCTCAAACTCGAAAAACAACTTTTTAAAATGAAAACACTGGATGAAGTACGAAACTTAGAAGTTCCAGTTTTTAACTGTGTGTGGTGGTTTGACCGGAGGGAAAATTACATTGATACTCAGCAGGGAGTTGCTGTGTAAATTAATCTGGGTGAGGCAGCCTTTCCTCCTTATCCTACTTTTAGCTGTCGGAACAACAGTGTCGTTTTTTCTCTTTACAGAAACTGAACATTTTTAAACATTTCATGTACTTTTGGGTATACACTGTTGAGGATATCCTCCAGGAACATGAATGGTAATATATGTGGCATATGTTAATAAAACTGCTTTAAGTAAATAACACCTTAAGTTTCAAATGTTGAAGTCAACCAAACATCAAGACGGCAAACTGAAGCATGAATCAATATTGTCAACATGTGACCTGAAAAACCTGAATTTTGACACCGTTGGCAAACCTCACATGCAAAGGATTTCAAGACTTTTGTTTGAATGGTTCACTTTCATTCTTGAGATCATAAGTAATATGATCTATATTAATATGTAATAGTTTAGTACAACATGATGGATTAGCCTTTCATGAGCTTTAGAGCTGTACAGTAAAGGTTCCTTTATATCAAACAGTATAGCTACAGAAAATGTTTCCAATCAGCGGTAGAGCATGTTGCCCTGAAAGTCTTTTGTGTTAATAACCTGAGTTTTTGGAAGTCAGCCTTTTAATTTTATTATTACCTGAATGTCCTTTATGTGTGTAAATGTGTGAAACAATAGGCTAGATCTGTTTTCGCTGCTGTTTTTTTAGCTATTATTCCCTCTGCCTCAAACCCATTTAGGACCTGTCAATTTAAAACAGTCCGCATTTGACTGAATATTTGACAAGGTCAACAAAGCATTTCTAGCAATTAGTGAAACCTAGAATGACAGACACTGTGGCTGGTGTCCTGCTGACCCTTCTGAGTGTTTGGTTGATGGGTATTGAAAATGCGAAGTGAAGCAGATTTATTCCAAGCAGTAATTTATTCTCAATCCTCTATTCTGAAGCAGAACAAGTCCTTTGGGGGTGGGGGGATTTCCGACTCTGTGATTCTGGATAGTTTACACCTTTACCTGTCCCCTTAGGAGTCAGTCATCCATCTAACTGTCTAATGAAATGCATTCACAAACCTTCCACAGTCACAGCTGCAGTGTGGATTGATTGAAGGTAGTGAGGTTTGCCCTGATTGATGAGATTTTCATCACTCTGATGACCTGGAATAAATCGCAGGTGCAGAGCAGAGGATTTTGGGAGTGTTGTAATGGTGGTTTGTGAAAGCCTTACCACCTGGGTGTCTACCCACCTGCAGTGCGATGTTGTGATCGTCTAACGTCTTGTCAGGCTCTAAATCCAGGTGGACTAGACAAGTCGGGTTTTGTGCAGTGTAAACACGTTTCAGGTGGAGCCCTGTGAGTCCTGCGTGTTTAAACCTAATTCAAGAAGACGTTGCTATATTTCATTTCTTTCATCTTAATGCAAGGCAAACCCAATCCGCAGCAAATGAGAAACCACATGTTCTGGAAACTACCTCTGATGTGTTTTTTTTACCTCTTTATTGGACAGTACAGAAACACAGTGTGCGCCACTGGGTGTTGTAACCTGGAGTCTTTCCTGTAAGCACTGGGCATGCAAGGAGGGCACCCTTGATGCGATGCCTGTGTCCTGCAGGGCATGCACACACCAGGAGAATTTAGAGATGCTAGTTATCATAGCCAGCACATCCCTGGAAGGTGTGAAGAAATCGGAGCAGGCAGAAAAGTCCCATGTGGACATAAGGAGTATATGCAAACTGCAGGATCCTTCCAGAGACCAGTGATAATAACTGTGGCTCTGTGCTGGCCTTACATGCATATATAATAGTTTTATAACGTATAACAAGATCTATCAGTAGGACAGTGCTGTTGATCATCTTCTTACTGAAATCTTACTAATCCCACATCTTAATTAATAATTCCTTACACTTATATTGCACTTTTCTGGACACTCCAGTCCATTTCTTTACCATTTCTAAAGGTTCCTGGGCAGCATGTTAAAGAAACAGAGTAAAGATCATGGATTGCTAAAAAATGATTTGCAGTAGTAACATTGGTAGATGAGAAAATTAAGGAAAATTATTGCTTAAGTTTTTTTACTTAGAGGTTTCCTCTTCTTATTGCAGCCTGTTAATAAATGATATGTTCTGTCTGTTCAAAGACAAGCTGTTCATGCCTTTTAAAACATCCTTGTTGGACACACTTTCTAGCAAAAATGCTTTGAATTGCTTTACTTCAGTGAGAGTTCATGAGACCTATCATTAAACCCCACAAAATGCTGGCTTTAATTTTTAAATTCAAGACCTAGCCTTGAACGTCATGAAAATTGAATTCTGGATATATTTACCACTAGGGGTCAGTGTAGTATTGCATGGAATTTTGCATACTGCGTTTCAAGATCAGCATTAAAGCTCATATCTTTTATTTAGAAATTTAGCTGGGGATTGTCCACAAAAGAGTTGCAAGTGATGGATTGTCAAGCATCTAGTTGAATTTATGGTTTGTGCTCATGTTTTTTGGAGGAGTTAAAATCTTTGGTTTTACTTCTGATTCTCCTTGTTAATATCAAGGATATGTTTGTTTGTGCTGTAGTATTTATAATTATTTCAGGTTTTACAGACTGAATGGCTGCCCTGTGTCTCTAGATTGTCTTTCAAGTTTAATCTTTAATGAAAGTGGTCTTAAAAAGAGTTAATTAAATCTGTTAACTGTTTTAAAAAGTGTCAGTTAATCGTAGATGTATATGCAACTACAACTTCATGACTAACCATAGTGAATCTAAAGCCAAACATTTCTTTCTTAGTCTGTTTAATGTTTTAATTTCTGTCATCATATTTCAAAGCATTAAGCAGGATGTGTGCACACCTATTACTTTGGGTTAGCTTGGATGGTTATATAAAACTTCTTCCCAGAACCTGATGTTTACTTTTGTGGAGAACATAAATCCTGCTTAGCTAGAACATACTTAACGCAGAAAACAATACTGACTTCTCAGTAATTGCTCTTTGAGAGAGATTATGTAGGGCTAAAATCCTCAGAATACCACAGAACCCTGGGAGATTTCATAACCAACAGAATTAAAAGCTTCCAGGAGACGGTTCCTAAAAATACATTTCTTCACATTTACTTTTTTACCATGCCTTCGAGGGCTAAAACTCATTCATATGAGTACTATTTTCTTTACTGTAAAGGTTTTTCAATATAAAAAGTGTTTTTTTTTCCTCCTCGAAGTTATATGTCAACATGCTTTTTATTCTAAACTCAAAGCAGGCATTTCAGTACGATAACCTTTAAACATAACTAAGACTGGAGTTTAGGTACTGATAATTCATCTAAAGACATCTTAACCTACGTTAAAAACACAAGGACTATGCAGAAGCTTTCTTTGGGAAAATGTTTGAATTCAGGGTTGCGTCTTCATTTGCAATATGCAACAAGATGATAAAATGATGAAATGTTAAGAAATAAAACTGCTCATACACATGGTTTCTATAGCGGTTCTATTCTGCTCCTGGCCTATAGATCTCCGTTTAATATTTTGTAATTAATTGTAGCATTGTTAGTACACGTTATAGACATACATTTGATTATTTGATCTCTGGCTGTTAAAGTGGGATTTCTTGGAAAGGGGTTTTCCAGTGTAAAACCACAATCCTCTGTTATTGTAGAGATTGTATCTTCTGATACCTCTATCTTGTATAAAGCATTGTTTACATTTCTGATAGGGCCTTCGCTATAGCTTAATCCATGTAGAATGTGAGACTTTCCTAAGCTGCAATATTGTGTACATGTCTTACTGCTCTGAAGTCCACGATTTTACCTTAAAAGTGTTTTTGAATGTTTATTTGTGTTATTGTTGCTATCAACGTGTCGTTACACTTTTTGAATTGTTACTGTGTCAAATACAGATGTTAAAAACCAGATAAAGTAGCCGTGGCCTGCCAAGAAAATTGTAGAAATAACGGAGACATTTGGTTGTTTCAGCAGCTTGGTGATTACCGATGTCATGTCAGCTTTGCCTTTAACAAACAAAGTTTTTTTATAATTAATATAATAATTGCTTACACTTATATAGCGCTTTCTGGACACTCCACTCAAAGCGCTTTACAGGTAATAGTGACTCCCCTCCACCACCACCAATGAATATGAACATTTGTGAATATTTTTTGTCCAATTAAAAGTGGGATAGTTTAAGAATTACACTGTTAAGATCAGTTCATTAACAAGCAAAACTCCCAAATAATATCTGGGCGTACAACGGGCAGATTTCAGTCTTACAATCTCTGTATGGAACAAGACTTTATAATTAGATCACCCGGTTTTTTTTTCTATGCTCTTGCAGATTTTATACTGAACTCCAATGATTGAAATGCTCTAAATATAAATACTATGTGTGGGGAAAGTAAGGAGACTGTGCATCCTTGAAAAGACCTCTTTGTATTTTATTTTCGCAGAGGCAGCACTGTTTCCTGTGACACGCAGTTCTAACATGGCTCCGCCTTTTTTTGGGGGGCCCCCCTTTCCATCTCTTCGTGATTTCCCTCACTCGCTCAAGCCCTCGACGCTTTTGGAGGGCTGATCTTGTGCAGAAAAAATCCCTGACATTTGAGGCGCTCCAGGGATTTAACGAGCATGCCCAGTGGCCAGAGCCTACATAGAGGAAACTGGTTTACATACGAGTCATACCACGCATAGCCTGCTTGTCAGTGCAGTTAACTTGCAGCGGGCTGTGAGGAGAACTGGCGCGTCTCTCTTTTTGTCCCAACAACAGTTTCAAAATCTATTTTTAAAGCGCAGCATACACAAGGGTTTTCTAAAAACCTTGCGAAAACCGCAATACGGCCCCTTACTTTTAAAGAAAGCATCACCCCTTGACGGGTTGAAGTTTTTTTTTGTTTTGCTTAGAGAGAAGTTAAAGGCTGGGCCTTTAGCTTTTGAAGTTGTGTGCTAGACAAGCTGAGCGAGCGGTCGTGCCGTTTTCTCTCTCTCTCTCCTGGGTGGAAGCAAACAAGCTGGTCTTTTTGCTAACCCAATAAATGCTTCTTACGAAAATGGACCTGTTGAACTACCAGTATCTGGACAAAATGAACAACAACATTGGGATTCTTTGCTACGAAGGTAAACCGTAACTTTTCGCGTGTGTGTGCGTTTCTTTTACCCCTAGCGTTTACATTGTTGCTTTTCAAGGCCATTGTTGTAGTAGCGGTGTCAAATTATCCAGGGGGGTTTTCAGATGTTTTTTTAGTGACGTCTTCGGATCGGTGCCTTATTTTTAGCACACAAAACCTTGCTTTCATGAAAATATATCGCCTCTGTAATTTAATGTTAACACGATTTGATGAGATTCCTTGCTACGTTGCATAATTAGTAATGTAACAGGTTGGCGGGGGGAAAAAAAGTGTCTTGAGGGCACGGAAATTGCATCACGTCCCAGCTTAGCTGGTACAGACTACTCCTTTTCCTACAACTTTTAAAATAACATGGTTTCGGAGACGTGACTTCGTATTAACAAAGGGATGCCGTCGTCTGGTTTTTGACAGTGTTGAAATGGCAGTGTTCAGAGGTGGGGCGGGTGTAGTACAGACTTCAATCTTTGTTTGACTTATTTCCTGGGCTGAACCGAGGACGGGGGGAAAAAAAATCACCGACAGTGGACGATGTTTCCTGCCCCGTAGTGGGGAGTAATCGGACACACTAACCCCTCCCTTCCTTGAAGGAAAGCGAGCTTTTATCAATGAGGAGATCGAGTTCGTCGTGTAGTGAAAGTTAATTGCTGTGCTGCTTATGAAATATGTGCTGAGTGAGGTGTCCGGTGAAATATCTTGCGACCACGTCTTTACTACGTGCAAACTGAACGAATTACAATGGCTTGCCGACATAACGGAAAGAAGGCCGTACTCGACTAATTAGATTTGAGAATGCAGTGTTTTTTTTTGTTAACTGAAACCGCACACAGACAGTTGCTGCAATTTATTTCTAGGGAAGGCCAGACGCTTTCCCGAAGTTTGGAAGTAGTTGAGAGAAAGTTTAGCGTCATTGTCATTTGGAGAGGAGAGATTTGTCCTTGTAAAGAGACATATGGTTTTCATACTTAGCTTAAAAACTTTAATTGTTTAAAGGAAGATTCTTTACAGACCAGTTGCTGTGGTCTCTTTTTTTGCTTTCCTGTGATGTGTCCGGTAATTTAAAACCTAGTTCAACAATAAAACGTTTTGAATGTCACGCTGCTGTCACAACGCAGTGTGGCTCTCAGTTTTAGAATTCATCTTTGATTTCTATCATAACCACAGAAATCACAGTCCTGAAATGGTTTTTCAGGGTTTAACAACTATACCGGGTGGGGAAACTAAAGACATGGCGGTAGTTATGTTTCTGTAAGATCAAAACCAGTTTTCGTATACAGTACTTGTTCAATGTTTCTGTAGCTTGTCTTGTTAGAATGTTCCAGTTGTGATCATCTCCAGTTATCTGAAGATCTTGACTGTAAAACACTACAGCAGACAGCATTTAAAACCTGGGCTTATCAGATACTCTAAAGTTCAAAATTAGCCTTATCTGTGTTTTAGTACTACTGTATATATTTGAGCTGAGGTATGATGTTTAAGTTAGCAATGCAGCAAATGGACACTTTTCTGTGCTAGTGTGGAGTAGTGAGATCTGCTGATGGTTTTCCTATTAAAAGCGGTTCAAGGGATTCCGTTATCTGTTGAATGTCTTGAGGTTTGAGCTTATCAGAGAAACTCCAGGTCTTGTCTGAATGGTCTGGGAGTCTGGGCAGCTGAAGCACCCTGTACCAGCCTCCTGTTCACAGCAATCACTTGTCAAATGACAGTAATGTGATATGGGCTGCATTCTGAGCAGAAACATCTGTGGTTCGTTCTGATTTGTACTCTGTTCAGATCAGGAAGCCAGTGCACTGTAAGGTGGCGAAGCTACAAAGCGTTCAGGTTTTTCATATTCTAGTTCTGAAGGTAGCAGAAAATGTGGAGTCCTGGTGTAAAACCTTTAATTGCTCCGTTGGCGAGCCAGGGTTTGTGCTACGGAACTTTTAAGGAAGGTTTTGGATCCGTTTCTCCAATTTACAGTTGCAAAGAAAGGCCAATCGTAGACAATGGCAACGAACTAAGCTGTAAGTTTATTCTCACGTGTGGAGGAGAAGTTATGTTGCAACATGTGTTTCCCCGTGTTGCCATTAAGGTGCAATGTTTTACAAGGCCATTCCAAAGATTATTGTATATATACAGAACCTGCTTTGCAATGTTTCTGCATTCGAACTGTACATTTACAGTAAAAAAGAAGAAAAAGTTTTAGATTAAGACACTTTCCAGAACTTTCCAGTGATCCTTACTACATGGCTAACTTAGGCACAGCACTCTCAAAGACTTTCTTCTCTTTGAAATTCCTTAGTAAGCATGCTCGGGGCTTAAAGTGTTTTGAACTCAGTAGGTGTTTCTGCTGCAATCAGTCAAATCAAAGAAAGTATTTGTAAGAACCCCCGAAGTGTGGCAAATCTTAAATATCAGCAATCTTTGGTCATAAATTCTTGAATTGCTGTGATACATCCATTATGATCTCGTGAGATTACCTTCGATTGTATTTAACTCCCTTGGGTCTTTCTTAATTGTCTGATGGATATTTGTAGTTTCTCTCTGTACATTAATTCCAATATGAATCTAGAATTAAGACTTCACATTCAAATCTTCAGTTCTTCTACTGCTGTATTTCTGAAAGTTTGTTTAGCTGAATGTGCTATGAAAAGAATTATACTGCTTACTGCTAATTTAGTATACTTATTTGCTGGAGGCATTATATTAGTTGTGTAATCCTCCACATATTACAGAGGTATTAGGTTATATAATAGAACGTTTTTCTTAAAGAGGCAGAATTCTGTTGAGAAACACTTCACTGTAATGCCTTAATGGCAAAGTGGGATTTACAATTGTCCTGTGTAGTAGTCATCAAATCTCAGGTGAGGCACTGCTGTTATCCTCTGGAAGTACTTCAGTCCGATTCAGTAAAGAAGCCCAGCTGTATAAATCGGCAGAAATTAACACTTCAGACTGTTGCAAAAGTAAAATGTGAAAGTTGGAATGGAGGGATTTAGTAATGTTTTCAAAAACGTTAGTGTAAAATAGGTTGGGATGTTAAGAACTACTGTATTGGTTTCATTGAGGTATCCCTTATGTAATGTATTGAATTTTCAGGTGAGTGAAGAATGTTAAGTTTATAGTGTTTTATAGATGCAAAGACTCAGTCTTACGCTGTAATGCTCCACTTTCAGGAAGACTTGCTTGGGAGTATGTGTTGTCACTTGTTCCTTTTTATGTCCATTAAACAAGGAATGAGGATTTAAAAAAAAACATGGTTTAAAAATAGTGAAAGTCATTTGTCATTATTGCACTGTTTTTTTCTCTCCTTAAAATTGTTTTCCAGTATAAACAGCTGAACCACAAACATATGTGACAAATGTTTAAAGTTTTACATACTGTATCATTGCCTTCCTCGCTTGCATGTGCTGTTTCCAGTGAACACACATTGAACTTTAGTACAGCTGTCTATGTGCTGTAAACAGATTTTTTTTTTCCATTTGTGAAGAATGAATCGGTCCTTTCATGTGCCACACAGCTCACAACTTGTGGAATAGGGTCACTTATTGTTGTGCATTTTATCAAGTACAGTACGTAGCAATCGGCACCGCAGCTACATACTGTCTGTGGTACTGTTCTGAGTTCCATTTGCACAGCCTTATTGTGCAATTACACAAGCATTGCCATAATAAGCCATACTGAATTGCTTTTCATTTCCAAGCGTTTTGTTTTGATGGGAATACAAATTTCATAATGCTCGAATGGGGCTGACTCACTGTAATTAGAATTTTCAAGTCATTTTTGTGATTTCCGTCATGTGTGCCAGAGTTCTGTTTCCTGTGTAGAGTGTGTAGTATAAACAGTGGCTAATGGTTCAAACAATAGTCCAGAATCAGATCAGACTCCCCTCAACCCTGTGTCAGGAAGCCCCTCCTTTTCTTAGTTTAAAACATATTTGTCCATAGCTTCGACTTTTCCTCTGGTTTGTATTTCGCTGTTGATTCTGAGACAGGCTAATCAGCTGACGTTGTCTTTATGGCGGTTCAGCTTTATTACACCCTGAAACAAAATCTACACACTTGTGAAGTATGTTTTTGGCATAATTTATAAGCTGTCTTGGAAAGCTCAGAGTTGAGCAAATACTTGCTTACGCCCATATTTTGAAGTTTTGCACAGAATTGTTACTAAATTCCTATGGAAGCATTTTGGACTCTTTTGTGCAGACAACACTTTGTGTTTGTCTGGCATAAATGCAGAGACTGATAGTCTGATACCGAAGGCTATGAGGATATTAAGCTGCTTCTGTAATAGAACAGTCTTCCTCAATGCACAAGGCATTGTAGTATGCAAATAATGGAGAAGGAGGAGAGAGAAAATTAGTAAGGACTAAACTTGCTTGTGGCCTACTTTTTTATAAAAACTTTGGACGTGAGTCATCTTAAAACGCATGCACTATTTCTGAGTTACCTGAAGATCTTTCTTGGTCTGTAACTTTCCACATCTTTGGCATGAAGGAGTGTGTATTTGTGCCCAGTCCTCCATGTTTGCATTTATAGAATTCAACAGGCAGCTTTTCACTGTCTGAGCTGTGGCTATTTTGTTGACCAGATATAAAAAAGATGGATGTTTATAAAGGAGAGTTCTGTTTAGCATATTCTTCCTGCAATAACTGAAAGAAACATTCGATTTTTAAGTTTTAATATTTTTTATTTATGCAGGGAAAACTTTTCCTTTATCGTCTATTCTAAACTAGTGTGCTAAAGGTTTATATTTTTGATTAAGCAAGAAAAGTATTTTAATAATACTCTTTATTAAAATAAATCCTGACTGCAACTGTGACTGTAAGTGTTACAAGAGGTACTACTGCTTTCTAGGGATTGTTTTCAAGTACTAACCTGGTATTACATGTAAGGATTCATTATTTAACAGGTGGGTAGCTGCGTCAGCATGCGTAGGCTGCAAAGGAACAAGTACTAGGTTTATTCCATGCTGAAAAAAAGAAGAAAGAGAACACAACGTTTCGGCCGTGGAGCCTTCTTCAGGTGTCGAAGAAGGCCACCTGAAGAAGGCTCCAAGGCCGAAACGTTGTGTTCTCTTCTTTTTTTCAGCATGGAATAAACCTATTACTTGTTCCTTCATTATTTAACTGCCTGCATAATGGATCTCAGGTCCAGTTAATGAACAGGCTGCTAGCTGGAATGTTTCCCCCAGCCATTCCACTGTTTAATCACATGGCTTAGTGACAGAGGGTAGAAATGTACAATCAGAGCCACCATTCAAGACAGTAGCACAGCGAATGTGTGTCCTATTTTTAATTTAACAATGTAAGATTTGGACCACAGTTTTGCAGTCAATTTCAAGCTTTTTGGAGTTGTCAACTTCCGACTTAGGTTTGTTTACTGTCCTATTGTTTTGGTTTATGCTGATTTCTTAATTTTAGTTTCCTCAACCAGTGTCTTTGCTTCTGAGTTGCTTTTTAGTGAAAACACCATCAACATCTAGGGTTAGTTTTCACAGCTGCAAGGGCACTGACGACAAAGACAGTTGCTAGAGTAAGTCATCTTATTACTATTATTTGGTTCATATAATATTATTATTATTATGCATCTGGGCAGTCTGAAAAGTAAAAGTACCTGTGAAACAGAAAGCCTACAGTTTTCACATGGTGAGTCCGGGGCCCTACGTGTGATACCACACTGCCACCACGCTAGAATTGTTTCATATGAGGCTGAACACATTCAATGAGAAATAGTTTTAAGAGTTCTTCAAGAATTGGTGCTTTTTCAAAATGTGTTTTTTCAAAACAATCACCTGCTTCTCGAAATGTTTCCAGCCTCACTTCACCCTGTGAATATTTGTGTTTCAGATTTTTGCCTTACATCTTACGTGAATCTGTTCCTGAGCCAGACCATGTTAGTGTTGTGGAACAATCTGGTCATGTTCTGGTTTATTGTAAATGTCACATCAGTGCATACCTTTTTAGTTAGCTATATATAATCGTGATGGCAATATGACCTGTGTTTTGAGAAAGTACAGAAAAAGCTTTTCTACTCTTCTTCGTATCTATGAACTCTTTATGTCCTTCCGATGCTGTCGTCTCCATGGGAACAGGAGAGGTTTCTTCCTCTGATGGCTCTTTGTTTAGATCTTTTTAGATCCCATCAAAGGCAACTCGCAGAACTCCTGAGCCCATGAAGCCTTGGATTCTCCCAAAAAATACCTGTTCTTCCCTCATGACACGACTTGAGTTTATTTTCCCACTCTACTACCTTTTGGAGGGCTAGGTATGAAAAGAGGTTCATTGAGTCCCCAGACAAAACTAACAACATGGCCTAGTGAAGGCTGGAGCTGTAGACTCTTCATACACACCTCTGTGCGCTTTATATGACCACTTTCTTCTTCATGACTCATGGCTTTGAACAACATAAGCAAGATGGGACTTTTATTTGTTGTGTTTAAGTAAATGCAGTAGGACATTTCATAGCCATAAGGGAAAATGGCGTATTAGGCCTTTTTATAAGTACCATTCTGTATCAGACTCTAGTGTGCTTATGTAATAAACTAGTTTTAAATTAAAAAAAGTCAGTGCCTAAAGCTGTCTCCCTTTTTGTATTCATTATCCAGTGCCATTCATTGACAGTCATTGGCCTAAAAAGGAGAGAAGCTTGATTCATTGCTTTCAAGAGATAACTTGTTTAGAGTGAAGAGTGCACATGAGCCTAAGGCTGGGCTGTCGGCGCCTGACTGGAGCGAATTGGGTCGGCAGTTTTTTTTTCTCCAGCCTCCTCGGGCCTTGTATGACATCTGGTGCGCATTGCTGCTGCTGGCTTTCAAGCCGCCTGCGATGGCATCCCTGCAAGCAATTGCATTCTGTGGTTGGCTTCAATTCAATCGCACAGAGCCAGCAGATAGAATGCTGACACTGACACTTTTCTTGCTGAACGCGGCCAAAAAGTTGCTTTGAGCTGAAAGGTGAAAACCTCAAAGTGATATTGCATTGCCGTTTTGTTCAGTCTTGCTTGTGTTGTGATTTGAGGGGATCGTGCTCTCTGGGTGTTAAGGGTAAAACCCAAACACTTGTGAAACGTGTTAATGTGCAGCTGGTCACGAGTGTTTTGTCTTTGTATTCATCTGAAGTACAAAAAGTTTAACTTTGGGAACTTGGAAAAGACTCCCCACTTATGAGCCTTTATGATTCGTGTTCACTTCAGTCATTTTAAGTTTAATTACTTCTAACACTATAATTGTTTTCTCATTGACTTTTCCAGTTGTTTTCCTAAAAGCAGCACTTTTGTGTCGCATTGCATCCGTAACCTGAACTGCCTGCTGAAATTAGTGTAGCACCTTTGCTATAAAGCTGTGAAAAAATGATCATATAGCCCTGAAACACGATCTCATCCTGAGTTTACTTTTTGAAGTAGCAAGAGAGAGCCTTGCTTTGATCATTTTCACTTAATGACTGCCTTTGATTAGATCAAACATTTTAATGCGCCTTTCTTGACAGATAATGATCTTTATGGCTCAGGACCTTTTCTTCAACAAAAGTAACTGTACTATAATGCTCTGTCTCAGCACAAACGCTGTTTGGCAAGATATGCTCCCAGCCCCTGCCTCCATTCATAGAGCTTAGTGCAATGCATCTTCAACCTAATCATCCGGCTGAAATCTACATGCAGAGATTTGTATTGCGGCACGTCTCTTGTGCATAGGCTACATTTCAGTTTCGTTTACAGACTCGAGGCAGGAAAAAAACAAACCTGGGTAATATTTTAATATTTTGATCGTCAAAACTCAGGTGGCTCATGCTCCATTTTTAGGTTAGTGGTGCCCTTGATGTGCTGAATGTGATACAAAAAACATTTTTCATGCATGGGTGGGAGGAAGGGTGAGTGCAAGTTTCCCTTTATCCTCTTGTTCTTATAGCTTGGTAGTAGAGCTGAATGCTAAACACCCGATTTGTATGCATTTACATTGTAACTTTGTATAAATTAGCTTTATTTTAGTACTAATTTTTTTGAGTACTTTGTGAAACCATTTTTGGGATTATCTCAATGTGTAAACTCGTTTTTACAGTGGCTCTATGTTTTTCAGTGCAGTTTTTAGGCTGTTCCCTTTTTATTCAGATTAGCAAGTGCATTAAGTGTATTTGAACACTTTATCCTTTAACTGCTTGCAGATAAGCTGTTGCATATCGTAGGTTCTACTTTTCTCAAGCAGACATGTCAGTTAAGTAATACGCTGCAGGAGCTGTGACACGGAGTATTTGCAGAAATGTAGTTGTATTATCAGAGCTTTTCCTTGCCAGGCCAATGATGTCATTCCCGTTGCCATGGCGCACGGTCAGACTGCAAGAGACAAGCCAGTCAGGAAAATGGGCCGTTTGTTTAGAAGACAGAGCTGTGGTTTTTTCCCTTGTGTTGAAAATTGAAATGGGTTGATGGGGACAAACAATGATTTCTATTACTATTCTTACAGTCATTAAAATCCAGTAGAAGCTCAGAAAATATTAATTGGGAGTTAATATCTTTGTAAAGGTTTTGCAGAGGAAAAGTTACCTGTGGATTGTGTGGGAGTTCATTTTCTAAGGAAGGAAATGTACCTCAAAGGCTACTACCTTTGTGTTGATTTGAGAGTGAACGGTTTTGCCGTAGTCTAATTTTGCAAAGGAATTTTAATGGCAAAGAATGTGACTTGAAAAGCGCCTGATCTGCAGTAAAAAGATAATACATTATGATAAACAATGACTTTCAACAGAAAGAATGATTTTTTTCTGGTTATAGAGGGTCTTTAAAGGATGAAATATACTGTACATAGCACTGCTAAACACTGTATTGCTGTGATCTCGCCTGTTTTAGTGAAACCTTCTGTTAGCAGAAAGGTCCGTTTGTCACTGCTATTTGAAACTGAGCTGTTATCCTACTCATCTTGTTGTATGGTCTACCGTGAGATACAGTACCTATGTTTTTCAGTTGTATCTAGAAAACACTGGTTTTCTGCTTAAAGTTTCACAAACAGATCCTTCAGTATTTAGGCAGACTTGTTCCTGTCAAGTTCCAGATATACTGAAAATAGATATGTGCTCCCAACTGACAATTATGCTTTTCTTGTGTACACAATGCTATATTCAGCAAAGAGACTGTACTGTAGTTCGAAAGTACACAGTTGTACACAGTGTTTTAATTAAAAACACCCAGGCATCGTAAAGACTTGGTAGTGTCTTGTATTGTACAGCAAGAAGCAAAAGAAATGACCATATGATTCATACATTGCTGCATTTAATACTATGCTTTTGAATATATTCTATGGTAATTTGACATTTTAGTTGTGCAGCTGTGTGTTGCCATTTATAAATCTTTTGATTTTGTTGTCAAATTGTTTTTGAACATAAATTAAAGCTCCTTATCCTAGAATGTCTGTATTTTATATGATTATAAGACCACATTTTATTGCACTTAATAGTGCTTTGATCCCTTTAGACTGTGAATATATCAATTTTATGAAATCGTTCTTAGATGGTTTTCCAGTAATGTTTTTTGGTATCTGGGTTTTCTGTCTTGCGAAACACTTAAAGTAGCATGCACACTGAAGTCTAAGTTCAGTTTTTTTTAAGTTTCATCACATGGTGTTTTATTGATCGTGTTTACTAAGATGCATTGTTTTGCTTCTGATTTGCAGGTGACGCTGCTTTAAGAGCAGAGCCCAGAATGCAGTCCATGCCTATGTCTTCTGTCTCCAATCATAGGACAGGGCCTCCACCCATCAGCCCAAATAAGAGGAAATTCAGTGGGGACCAAGTAGAGGATGAACTTGACTGTGACAATGAGCACGTGGCCAAAATGAGCCGATTATTTGCTGCACAGCTGTAAGTCAATTATTCCTGTTTTTTGTAATTTTCTTATTCTTCACAGTTTTTACTCTGGCTGTAGTGATGTCATAATATCAATCAGACTACTCTCGGCTTCACAATGAGAGTGAATATTCAATTCAATGGTCAATTAGATGTGCAGGATAAAAAGCACAGCACTTTGCATTCATATTTGTATATTACATCCATTTACAAAGCTTGATGGAGCTGAATTGTACTACTCCTGATGGATTTATTTCTCTTAACTCGTGGATGAGCAGGGTAAACATAGCAGATGCAGAAACCCTGTCTGTTTCTTTGAGGTTATAGAAAGGCCATATCAATTGAAAAGGGTTTTTCCTGCACAATTCTCGGGCTTTGGAATACTGCAGCGGTTGGCATGGAGCTGAGGTCTAAAGATTCCTTGCATTCCTGGACGGTGATTGGAGCATATAGTCTGTTTGTGGTGCTTGGCCATGCCTTCATGGTAGCTGCTCAAGAGGCCTTTGGATTCCTGAGATTCCTGCCTGTTTCAAAGGCACTGTGTTCAGTCATAAGACTACAGACACAGCTATTTATTGTTAAATAACTCACTGAGGTGTTAGTCAGAGCACCCAGTCTGTAGTTCATGGCCTTGGAATTTGCGTAACAAATTAGGATCCAAGTGCTGGAGGGAACCAAACAATCCGAGGTGCTTCGGCTTGAAAAAAGAATTGATCCCTTTTGTTAAACGTAGTGAGCACATTTTTATTTAGCTGGCAAATCACTGTCTTATCCCATCCCTTTAACTATTTGAAACATGTTTTCAGGGCCAAATAAACATGTTTTGATCACACTGGAAGTAAAGTGTTGTGGTGAAGTTGGGATGACTGTGTTGAAATTTGGGATGGCTGTGTGATCTATTCATTTGAATTGGGCTGCTTTACTCCTTTAGTACTGGGTTTGTCATTGACTGGAAATCAGTGAATTTCATGCAACACGAAAAACTGAGTTTTGTGACGCTTCAGAGACTCACTACTGTAAATCCTCAGTAACTACTGATTGTAAAACTTTGAGAAATGGATCTTTTCATTTAAATAAAGTCATAGAATTTGAAATAAACTGCGACTGAAGACATTTGTACTTCAAATTGGTACTCCACAGCTTAGTTACCACTGACATGTAAAAGCACCAAACAGATTTTTTATGTAGCGCATTATTCCACCCACTAAATTAATGATCTTTGCACTGTGGTTTCAACTTCTCCTACAGCCTGTCCTTGTCTACAAAAGGCCTTTTTCAGTCTTAGAAGAAAGTGCTCTTCTGTTCACATCAAGGTTAATTTTTAACCATGTGATTTGAATTTGTTAATTGCAGAGGAAAAGAAAAGTGGCTGTTGGTGGCATTTGTGTATTGTAATGCCTACAGTAGTAGAAGGAGTGTTTCTAGATCTTGAAAAGTGTGGCATGTACTGAGTGTTAGGAGGCAGTAATACTAAAATTCACACACCTGAAGAAGGCTCCATGTCTGAAACATTGTGTTTTCTTTCTTCTTTTTTTCAGCATGGAATAAACCTATTACTTGTTCCTTTGTGGCCTACACATGCTGACGCAGCTACCCACCTGTAATACTAAAATGTCAGGAATTCACCAAATTTTAAATTGGTCACATCTGGACTTAAATTATCCAAATATATATCTATAGAAAAAATCTGGACAGTGCAGTGTGTAGTCTTATATTGGTCAGCAGGTGATAAGCCTTAACAAAGTACAGGATCTGTTTCATTTAAAAAATATCTTCATTTTCTTAACTTTACACCACTATGTACACAAAGCCTTTTTTTTTTACTGGATGTGAATATTTGAATAATCTAAAACAAACTAAAGACTAAATATATACACTCCAAAAAATGTACCTTTTGTGAAATATCTGGCTTACATTTCTTAAAGGTTTGTCCAGGGAAGTCTAAACTTCAGAGACAAGTAGAATTCTCCCCATTGTTGGTTGTTTTTGTGAAGTGCTGATACCTAACACTTCCTAGCCCAGCAGTCATGGAGGAGGTGTCGGGTTTCTGTTATGGTTTGCTGGCTACGAAGGGCAGGCTAGGGCATTGTGGGAGGAAAATTACTCCTTTCCTGCCAATCTTTTTTGCTCCAGGACACACTTTATACTTAAAATGTTGAAATTAGATTCTCTCTTCTGTGTTAAACAATACTTTCTTGGAGAAAAGCAGCTTTTTGAAAACAAAATCGAGCTATTGGACATTGTGGGTTTCAAACATCCTGTTTGCAAAGTTCCACTTTAAAAGATCAGTGCAGCTCACTGCCCATAGCCGTGAAATTATTGTAGGATGCTTTTCCCCCCCATTTCATTTGAGCGTACCACACCTGTTAATTATTTCCTCCTATTTTGTGACGCCCTGTGTCACTGTTAAAAAGAAACACAATGTGTATCATATGAAGATTAAGCGTATACCAGTATACATTTACACCAGCATACATTTGAACATTTATGATTTTTCATCGGCAAGTAGCCGCCATTTATGAATTAAAAAAAAAAACAGGGCTTTTTTTGTTTTGTTTTTTGCGCTTAAAAAATAGTCAGCGGACAGGGTAAAGCAACACACGGGCTCCTGCTAACCTGTGTTGTGTAGGTTTCTTGTCAGGCTGAAGCCATTTTCTCATTTTCACAGTTCAGCTGAAAACAAAGGCCTCCTTATCCTGTCAGCTAGCAGTGCTCAGAAGGGCTGACATCAGCCTTTCCCCCATCAGGCGCCTCTGCTGCCATAAGAGTCAGTGCTGGGAGCTGGGAACTGCCAGAACAACCTTTTCTCATGGTTTTCGCCCTGCCAAACAGCACATGTAGCTTAGGAAAAGCCAAGGTAGCTAGAGCTGATGAAATCATCTAATTCACTGTTATTTTAACTTGTACCTCGCTTTGTAGCGCTCATAGAATCAGAAGGCTGTACTTTGAACAAACCTTTGATAATCTGTAGTGTTGTTTTTTTTCCTTGGCCGGTGTATGAAATTGAAATCCCTACCTTCAACTACCAATCTTAGTATTATTGCTGGAACGTCTCCAAAGACGACTTCTCCTTTATAGTGCAATAGGTTTTTCAGTGATGTAGCTCTTGCAGTGCGATCATTTCCTTAACTTAACCTGACCTGGGCTTTGTTTGCTAACTTGTTTTAAGACTTTTTTTTAAAAAAAAAACTAAAAATGAATCCTAGTTTTCTTATTTTCATATTTAACTACAGAACTCTCACGGATTTGTACAGCAGTTTGAAAAAATTATGAAGAATCAGCATCTTCACGTTCTTAAATCCCTAAACTTATTTTGCTTTTAAGATTTTTTATTTTCAATTTTCAAAAATCTTCCCATTTGTACATCTGTTATGCAACTGGATGTACAGCTTACTAGCCACCTTTAAGTTATCAATTCTTTATTTGCATAATAATTATCCTAAGAATATAAGGATGTTTATAGAATATGCCATACAACCTACTTCTTCATTTGTTAGTTCGGTAACTAAGTGAATCTAAAGTTTTATTCCAGTTGCTTCTGATTCAGTTGTGCTGCCTTTTTCTCACTACCGAATCTAAAGTAGTATCCCCTTAGGATATAGTATATTTCAATGAGTTCTCCTTTTTTTTTGACTGAAACATTTAGTTCATTTAACCCACCTGTATATGATAATCCTCTGAGACCAAGAAAAAGTTCTGTTGCTCTTCAAACTCTTTATAGCTATAATACACTTTTTGTGGTATGGTGACAAAAACCTAAATATTGCAAATTAGGCTAGGTCTTACTTAAGCTTTGTAAAGCGTGTTTTTTCCATTTAAATCCCTCACTTTGTGCTATATACCCAAGTATTGTTTGCTTTTTTATGGTTTCCTTGCATTGTCTTAATGAGGACATAGAAGAATCTGTACCCAGAGCCCTTCCATGAGTAGCTTCCTGCTGTTAAGAATCAACCGTATGATAAGTATAACATATGTTCCCTTTTCCTTTATGTGTGCTTTTTAATTGTTTTCTAGCTCTGCAAAGTTTTCAACCTACCTTGGCATAGAAAAATGTCTTTTGAAACTCCTTTCTTTGTTTCCAGTAGAGTATGTTTAGTCAAGTGACTTTGTTAAATTCAGAAAAGAGACCAGCTGCAGTCTGGTGCGAAGTTCTCTCTTATCTGGAGCTGAATATCTTATTCCATAACCTAAATTCCACAAACCTCTAACGTGTACGTATCCTAACCTGTAAGCACGTTCCATGATATTTTCGATTATACCTTTAAAATCTTGGGTGTGTAACTTAATGGAATGTAGTGTTTGTTTTAGACTGTATGCAAACACATTTGCCAAGAACTCTCACCTCTTTCCTATTTTTTTTATTTGCAAATAAGTTTATTCAAATTGAGTTTAATGGAACTTTCGTGTATAGATTTCAAATATTTTGCATGCAAACAGAGTATACCACTGACTTTTAAATACGGGTTTGATGTTCTGTTCATTCTATTTTCAAGTTTTAAATCATTCTTATGATAAAAGCAATATAATGCATTTATTAAAACTGATCATATAGACAAACTGTTTCATCAAGCCATGCAGGGCACCACAGGTGTTTGCTATACTGTTGTAGTGTTGCAGGTGTTGCAATAACAATGGGCCAGAAAATGGTGTTGAGCCATATATCAAGATTCTGAGAGATGCCCTTCATGGTGGAATTGCAGAGAGTCGCTGTATCCTGTGGTCTATTCCATTTTTTTTTGTTTGTCCCAGATGTTTCCTGTATCTTTCCAAAGCAACCCTCCAAGGAGTTAAAAGAAGAAAAAATAAAAGTTCAAGCTTTTTTAAGGATAAGCATTTAAACTGCTCATTAATACGTTATGTTGTTGTCGGGAGATAAAGGGGACTCAATTCATGTAATTCATTAACTTAAGGAGTGTTGGGGACAAAATATCAGATCATCTCAGAGGTCATTATTGAATTCACTTTTAACTGACTCAGGAAGACAGCTGCTTTTCACCAGGAACTTTACAAACTTAGACCGTACCTTGTTTACAGAGGGATGGGTAATTGAAATAAAACCAATTGTGTTAAAAAGAACTGACCTAGAAGTTTTGAATATTTAATTTCAAGCCTACTGTACAGGAAGCCCTAGACTCATTTAACATTTAACTTCATTGATCAGGGCTTCTGTGGTTCCTAGACCAGTGTGAGAGAACGCAATTGCACACCTCAGGATAATGGCTAAGATTAAGGCAAACCGTTGACTACTTGGTGAAATTTCTCATGTTTCAAGGTCTTCAATGCCACACCGTTTTGTAAAAGAGCATCGTGCCTGCAGCTTTGGGGATATTATAAATATAGCCCTTTACTGTAGACTGATAGGAAGAGTATGTGCTTAAATAAGGTAGTAGAAACTGCTTTGTCACGTGGTCCCTGTGGGCTTATCATGATTTTATAATAGACTAAATAATATTATATCCATTCAAAAAAACTAATTGCAGCCTGCACATAACCAGGAACTTTGTAAAAGGAACATTCTTACGTTTGTGAACATCTTTACATTACGCAGTGTGCCGTCCCGTTGTACTAAGTTTTATATTTTTGGGAATAGAACCGGTCATCTTGAGATCAAAGTTAAATGTGTGCGCCGTGCAAGATATGGTAGTAGGCCAAAGCTTTTAATTCAGCAGAACAACACAAAGGGTAAGCAGGAGACTTTTATTTTGGAAGGGTGCCCAGCCCTTTTTTTCCTCCAGAAGACAACATGCCAAGTTTCAGAGGCCCAAGGCTTTCTTGTGGGAGGACGCTGGGCCGTCTTCATGCTTTTTTGGCAATGATTAAAGTTAGGTTAGTACCAAAAAAACTTCAATTTTTTTCCCTTATCCTTTTTTTGTGGAAACAGATGGCCGTCTCATATTTTCATCTGAATTTAATTTGAACCGTAAGGTAGCGCTTTCCTATAGAGGTAGAGGCAATTATTGGCTGTAGATAGCAGGCCATATCCACAATCCCCCCCCAAACACTCCCATTTCCCCTCCGATATTTCAGCTCCTTTGGAGCTGGCGAGAGGAGCTGAGGAGAGGAACAAATTACTGCTGTCCTTTAACCCCTTCTGACTAATCATTTGTCGCATTCATTCTTTACAGGACATGTCAGGTGCATTCTGAGTGTTAGACATCTGCTTGCCACACAAGTTTTGATCAGTGATCAGTGAAATTTTGTGGAATCTTCCATTTTTCTTGCCTGGCTTGATCTGGAGCATTTGTAACTTCCCTATTGCTTCTGGGTGTGAAAGGAGTTCAATTATTTAATACATGCCCTTCTTTTTGTTGTAGAAAAAAAAATACTTGTGTACTTCCTTTTATTTGTATGAAATGAAGTACACAAGTTTGACGGGGAAAGAAATGAAAGAAAAAAAAAGTTCTTGAAATTCAGAGACGTATTTGAATTGTTTTCTGGCTAGCAGGTTTGTCCAACTTGATGGGGTTTACAGTCTGTACATTCAGTCATGAGCGTGGCAGCTCTCACATCGGCATCATGGGAGTGAGCAAACTCCTGACTAGCCGAGTTATAAAAAAGACTTTACAGGTATGGGCTCAGACCTATCGGCCACAGAGTCTAGAAGTAAAATCATATTAGTATTGTAGCAAAACATACGGTGAAAGAAAACAGTATCATGTTACACCCACTAAAGCTACCAGGCGAAGATGAGAATGCTAGTTCCATGGAACTGTTGGAACTACACAACTATTATAAAATAAGATGAGCACTGGAGCCAGATATAAACAGTTGCTGAAGGTCAGTATCTTTTTACTAAATGCAGGTCTAGGAGATTGAAGCCATGCATGCTGTAAAGTAGGCTGTGCAGAAGAACTTTGGTTTAATATTTTTAAGAAGCCATTTTCCTGCATCCCCCACCCCCCCCCGACTAGCCTAGAAAAGAGGCTAGACAGAATTCCGAGTAATGTTCCTTCATGTTAGCCATACAAACACTGCCGGAAAGCTGAGCTACAGGAGAAGAAGAAATGGGAAATGGGCTTGTATGGCCTGCCATTTAAAGAAGTGTGAAGTATCTTGTTTTTAAAGAAACCAAGCTACTGCTGAGCATACGTGAATGGTTTTGAGGGTTGCAAGCTGCTTTCCTGCTACCAAAGAGGAGATCATACAGGATGCTTGACCTTGAATGTCTGGAGTAAATGACCAGAATATATCCTACATTTTAATATAATAGAGGAGCAGAAGGAAGGAAACTGAGTCTCCTGTGTTTTTTTTTTATTTGCTTGGCCCTCAAGTACTATGGGCTTTTCTCATTCAGGCCATTTGTATGTGGCAAAAGACATTTCTGGTGGATGTAACACTGTACAGTGCAGTTTCCTTGTCTGTCTGGTTACCTGGTAACTATTTCCACAACCAAAACAGGGTCCAGGGTTCTCAAACCTGAACTCCTGGAGGGCCTCTTGTGGGCTTTGTTCCACCTGACCTCTGAGTTACGTAGTTGGTCTCATTCAATAATTGCATGATTGTAATACTTCTCCAAGGTGTTTGGCAGAAAAATAAAATTTTGCATAATCAACGGTGAAAGAAAACTCCTACATGGGTGTGAGACAATAGGGTAATGACTTAATCGACTACTGTGGTTGGAACAAAAAACAGAAGACACCAGGCCCACCAATAAAGTTTTTAGACCCCTGGCCTAAAGCCAGAATGACTTGGAGCCACAAACCAAGCTCTTATTTATTTCTTTATTCAGTTTTGAGCTTACTGAACTTCTCAGGCATTACTATCTGTTGTCCTGTATTGCCACTCAGTCATTGTAGACTATGTAAACTACAAAGATCCGTCTATAAATGTTATCAGTTTATGGAAGGACTTTAATAATGGGTGCACTGAGAAAGTTAATTACACTCTGAAGCTTGAATACTTTTGCGGATTTTGCTTCCTGAAGTTGTTGCAGGGATAGATTTGAAAGGCTGTGAGTGTGAAAGCGATCTGTGGTGCCGCTGTGATGGAGAACATTCTCAACGTGCATCAGAACCACAAATCTATGATTAAAGAAGCTGCAGGATCAACAAAGGCAACTACACAGTCCTTATAAACTCATCCGGAAAGTCAGCCACTTATTATTATTTTTAGTATTGTCAGGCTTCTTAGAAGCTCTGATTTAAACTTTGAACAGCCCAGAAGTCCCCTTCCTGGGCCTCTGTACAGTTGGCAGCATGTGTAGCCTGATTCTACAGGAAGGGCGTAATGTACTGTATAACAACACCACTGTGGTGGGGAGAAAATACACCTCTCTTCTTTCGAATTGGTACATTTTGGATGTTCTTGTTTGAAGGTGAGATTTTCCCTAAGCAGACTGAGGACCCATCTATTTTCTCTTAGTAAGAAAATGCACTTTATTTCTGGTATTTAAACCCGCTGCACAGACAGGAGACCTTGAAGCTGTGCAGCTCATATTCTTCTTTTTTTTTTTTAGTAGAGATCCTGTCTTGTAAATGTCACCTTTGAAACTAATCCGTGCCTTCAGACTTTGGTTCGATCAGGCTACATGTTAAATGTTTGTGCTTTCTAATTCACAACTGAATTTGAATAAAAGCAGAGTACAGTGAATATGGAAGCTATTGAGGTGCTGTTCTTTTACACAAATTACTCCCCACAAGACCATGACTGTTCCTGCAGCCAGTGGAACCAGTTGAGTGTACAGGTGTCTGTTCACCTTTGATATTGTCACTCAGGTGTCTGTTTCATGTCTGGATCACCTCCACATCCATTCCCATAATGAACGCTGTAATGTGTTGCTTGTTGTAAGAACGGTGAGCTGCTCAGATGAAGCGTGATATTTCTGCTTATAAAGACAACAAGCCCAGTTTATTATGGGTAACTATAGTGCACTGGGCGGTTAATTACATGGCTCACCGAAAGCAAAGCAAAGTTTTATTTGGGGTGTTTTCTTCTCTGAGTAGAGAATAAAAGATGCAAACCATCTGAAATTAAAATTCGAATAAAGAAGCTTCTCCGACCACTTCTTCACCGTTGCCCAGCTTCCCCAGGTCCTGAGGAGTCCTCTGTGGGCAGTACAGGTGAAGCACTTTGCATGCCGTCTGGGGCCGCGCATAACAGCTCTTTATCTTCCGCAGAGGCAAGCCAGCCAATGGGGACTACCGCAAGGACCACAGAGATCGCAGCCGCAGCCCGATCGAGCGCGCTGCGGTGCCTGCCATCGGTATCCATGCCAATCACGTGTATGCCCCCATGCCCAGCTTGGCAATGGATCAGCCACTGGCACTGACCAAAAACAGCATGGACGCTGCCAGGACCGTTTCCATCTCCCCCATTGAGCGGCAGCAGGTAAGAAACCGGTGGCAGGAAGTCCTCGTTTTCTTTGACTTGACAAAGGCGTTTCGAGGAGAGAAGACATCCCCCAGTGGAAACAGTTTCCCCCCCCCCTCTCCTTTCCTCGGTGCCGGGCCTGCGGTTATCTCTGTGTTAAGCCCTTGATTCATTTCCGGAATAGGACTCTCGACTGTCTGCTGGTTCATATTGCTCCGGCAGAACTGACCCTGAGCAAACGAGGAATCAAATCTTCAAGTCTGCGTTATAGCGTTATTGGATACAATCAACAACAATTTACAGTCACACAATTGTCATGCAATGTTTAAAGCGATTTCTCCAAAATTCAATCAAAACACTCCCATTGACTGTACTGCTTGTATGTATTATATAATAATAGTCATTAATTGTTTCTCATTATTTTCGAACAGTCTTTGCATTTGAAATCAGGTTTTGTGGGAAAGTTTGAGTCAAGCCCACATTTTGATTGCTTCAGATATATTGAAACGTATTCACACACACTGCACATTTAGGTACTCAGTCTTGACAGTATGTTGGACGTATGGCCAGCCACCAAACTATTTATAACACTATCCACTAAGAATATGTGAATGAAGATCATTAACCGTATTGGAGAGTCTAACTGTGCACATAAATTGCAGTATTTTAGAAATTTAAACCCAGATTCATAGTCAAGATTAGATGTCGTTACGTTCTTGGTTGCAACACCACATTGTCATTTGTAAACGAGACCGGCAAGTTCAATGGCCACATGTAAATGTGTTGAGGTGAGGTACCCCTACAGTGGTGACTGTGAGGACTGGATGCAATGTTAACTGGACGTTATGTTAATGCAATGTTAACTGGACGTTAACTGGATGCAATGTGACAGCATCAGTCAGAGCCTGTCAGTGTTATTAAACACAGTTCATGTGTATATGGGCCTTGACTATCCACAAATGGATCAGTGCTCAGGGATCTGGACTTGGGTTTCAAAACCCGGGCAAGACACTGCTGTTGTATCTTTGCTGAATTGTTCCAGTGAAAATACCCAGCAGTATGAAAGGGTGCAAATGTAAATTGCTTTGAATAAAAGCAGCAGCCAAATACATTAGTAACTAATAAAACTAAAAGTGTGAAAGAAAATTGGATTGAACTTATTTAAAAAAATGATTTTTAATGTGAAATATTTCTGTTTTGTCATTTGTTTAGAATCGTCCCTCGGTGATCACCTGTGCTTCTGCAAACAACCGGAATTGTAACCTCTCTCACTGCCCCATTTCACACAGTGGTTGCAACTCCAGCCTCCCCTCCAGCTACAGGAGACCCTCCAACAGTGAGTCACAGTTCCCCTCTATAAGACCTACAAGAGCTTGTTGTGCTTCTTTGTGCTGCCTATATAATGGAATTATCCCTAACAGAAATCAGTCCACCTTAAAGCACCCGAGGTCAAAATGCATGTATTAATGTCTGTGAATCTGACCTGAAAAAAGGTGGAATCATGTGGAATACTGTAGTATGAAATCTTGGACTTCTGGTCTGTTCAGTGTTCAGTTAAGTGCCATGAAGATGAAATTTAGAATATATATATAAACTCTGAGCTGTAGATGTATCACCTACTTATGTTGTAAAATCAAAACTCCAATTGCATAGAAACGTACTCGACTTCAAATCCAATTTTAAACTCATCAGCCTATGTCCCTGTTGACTGCTTTGACAAACCCATGCTGCTGTGACATGGAATACAGGCACTTTCTGTCCCTTGGCTGGGCAGAGGCCAGTTTCAGGTCACGGGAAAAACATTCATTGCTCAGCTGGGATTTTGATAGGATCGTGCTTTTTTTTTAAATTTGAGATGAACACAAGGAACCACTTTTTTCTTCTAAGGACAGATGTATATTTTTTTCCTTTACATTTCGAAAAAAATGCTGTAGATCTGTTAAATACTACACAGCATACACTTTTTGTATGTACGTTTCTAACAGACCTTCACTGGAGTTTCAATTCGATTTGAAGCGCTTCCTTGAACCGTTTTTATTTCAACGTTTCTGCTTTTGCGTCTCCTTCCACCTAGCTAACACCGCGTGCGACCCGGTGATAGAAGAGCACTTCCGCCGAAGTCTCGGGAAGAACTACAAGGAGCCGGAGCCAGTGACAAACTCTGTTTCCATTACCGGCTCCGTCGACGACCATTTTGCCAAAGCCCTTGGTGAGACCTGGCTTCAGATCAAGGCTGCGAAGAGCAGCGTGTCCGGCAGCCCTGAATCGGCATCTCGAAGGGGCCAGTCCCCTCCGTCCTCTCACATGGTCAACCACAATCACTCCCCCTCGGTGGTGTCGTGAGGAGTGGACCACAAACCCTTCAACTCAGAGCAACATGCATGATTTGGCTGAGCTTGGAACAGTGCTAAATATATATATATCTATTCAAACAATTTGGAGAAAGGGGAGGAAGTTTTTAAGTACCTTTGCATACTTGCTTGGCATTTGCAGTAAAGGATGCCCAAAATAAGAAAAAAGAAACTAGCAGGAACTATTTTTATTAGGAAATTATTTCAGATAGCATCCCGACCACCTGCCTCAGTTACCAAAGAAACCTCTGATGCAAATCTGCTGCCCCTATAAAGAATAAGCCATTCTTTCAGTGCTTTCCTCCCTGTTTTCTTGTTTCTTGAGTGTAGAGTTTGTGTGGTTTGCTTTTTATCTCCTCCGTTATGTAATTTTGTATGTTTTTACTTGAAAAGAAAGGCCAGGTCTGATTTGCACTATTGGGAGATGGGTAGGAGTTGCTTGTCGACTTCATGTCAGGCGTGCACCGTTTTCTTTGTGCTCCGAGGGCAAACTGCTGACAACGATGGTTAGGTGATGTTGCATCTTTCTGCATGAAGGCAAAAAAGAAGTGCTTTGGTGAGGGAAGGTCTCATACAGGTTATAGGTCTTTCTGTCTCTGTTTTCAGACTATGCTTTTATTAATGCTTGGTGCTCACAACTGGACTGCATCATTTTCTAAACATGGGCATTTATGTGTTTTGTAGTTGTTTCCTTAGCACTGCTGTTTGCTAGCATAGTTGAGGTTTGAAGGGTAAAATAGTGCTTACTGATGCATGTTTTAAATAGCTGGTATCTATTAATGTATAGATATTATGAATCTTAATGCTATTAGCCTTCCTTCAGATTAGTTTATTTTTGTCAGTAACAGTCCTAGATATACTTACTGCTGGTACAGTTGTACTCAATATTTTTTTTATGTGATATTCATTATGGTAGCAGCCAGCAACAGAGGACAGCCTCCGGACAGGCCATATATATATAAACAGTTAGATTTATATAATGTTAATCCGTGGTACAGGATGCTATAGCTTTGCGCATGACTGAATAAAGTATACATAAACAGCTGTAGACTGGTCAGCTTCAGAGTTGACCTGCTCCCTATTTTTTTTATTAATTGTTTCAACTGCTACTTTAAACAACTTAGCAGGTTGCAGCAGCTTGTGAATTATTGACTTATCAACCTGTGCCTAGGCAGCATACATTCCTCCATTAGAGAACTTTGTACAGGTATTGCATTATGTTTTGCTCAATATTGATAGCTACTAACTAGAAGCAAAGATGACAGAAGCATTCATATAACACAGCTGGGCTTTTACTAAACCGCTTCTCATCTTGCATTCTTGTATAGAAGTCATGTGTCCATACATTCCATCATCCCAGTTCAGTCATAGGACGTTTCAAACATTATATGACAGTGCTAAATGATAAATCTATTTTTTTTTTAGAAAAGGGTAGCTGGCTGCCAGACAGCTGCAATTTGAAACAAATGTCTGAATGGAGATTAATCAAGGCGTCTTTAAAACAAAAAAATCACGGCCGAATTCCTTGTCGATTTTTTTAAATTCAATGCAAATGTTACAGAAAAGTCATGTGTCATATTTGGCCGTGATATTTCCTCTGTCAACCGATGAACAGGAGAGGAGTACAGCCGTAAAGTGTCCTAAGGTATTTTTCACATTTCACTTCCATTCTTCTGGGTGGGAAACACTCGTCTCTGCTTTGGCTTTCAATACCCTACACACTGTAGGAAAATCACTAAATAAAAAAATACACTTTTTTTATATAGGTAACTTTAAGACCATCATTACGCTGTGCGTAACGAATGTACAGAAAAAAAATTCGTAGGTATTTTTTTGAGGAACAATTAATTTGTTAATGATATGTAGCTATTTAATTTTCCCTGTTCTTTATTGTAATCATGCATTTTTTGAGAAAAAAGTTGATCTTTTTTTTTTGTTTGTTGTAGATTTGTCTGTAATAAGGTTAAAAAGTGCAGGAACACAGTTATTCTATGAGAACACTGCATTAGCATTAATAGCCACTAGTTTATTATTGCTAAAGGCTACTGAGCATTGTTACAGTAGAATATCGAACACTGAAGATGCTGATCTGTGGGCAGTTTGCCTCTTATGTAAGCGAATTGAACAAATGTATTCAGCTAGAGAATTACCCGTCTGAGATGGGTAACTCCACACTGAACCCGGTCTGCCTGGGATTAATCTTAAAAGTTATTTAAATAGTTGATTTCCTGAGGAAGACTAGCTGTGCTTCCTTAGATAACTGACATTGAAACAAACTGTTTACAAAGTTCCTTTACATGGAAGATGCATCTACAGTGTACTTCTAAATACCCTAAACTGTTTTGTAAAATCTGTATTATACCCTCTTTCTGTGGCCTTGTTTCTCCTGAAAATAAAAAAAAGGTTTTGGCAGGCCACCTTTTTTGTACTTAAAAGTAGCCTCAATGAACAATAAAGTGCTCTTAAACTACAATCTTGGGTGTTTCATTTTTTTTTAATGAGTTCAGAATAATGCATACACATTTCATGGAAAGGAAAATAGTTTTTTTGTAGAAAGTGTATTTTCATCTGTAGAAAACTGGGCAGGGTATTGCAAATCTTGCTACTGGATAAATACAAAAGTATTTATTCACACTCCTACATATTTACTTGGAAGAAAGATCAGAGTGATTTAAAGTTTTAAAAATGCCTGAATTGCTATAACTATCAGGAAAACTTGACTTGTAAGATAAGAAAAAATGTTTTGTTAGAATGTTTACAGAAGTTCTGTACAAAGATTGTTAAAGATCCAGCTGTTTCATTCACAATTGTCAGAGCGAGAAGGAGTGAGTAGTATAAGTCTTCCTGGGAATACATACCACAGCCTTTGAAATCATAGTACTTAGAGCATTCCTCATTTGAGCAAGATTCTGAATGTTGCCACTTTGTTGCATCACCCTCCCCTAGTTTTTTAAAGAGGCTAAAAACATTCATTTGAATATCAGAGTGTTCAAGATGAATTGCCTACAGCATAATAAATGATATAAATCAAAAGCATTCCATATAACATTCCATATTCTATATAAGAGGATGCAAAGGAAGGATGTAAAAAAACCCAGCAGTACAGAAGTGGGGAAAAAAGTGAAAACAAAAACACTTATAAAGGACATGGAACATATTTCCTGGTATCTTTGCAACACTTATAAGATATTACAAGATATAGTGAACAACACCTAAAATAGACTCTTTTGGGCCAGGCTTATTGATTATGTCCAGTTGCATTTTGTATTTTTTCTACTTTTTTCTTCCTTTTTTAAAACATTTACATCAAATAATTGCCATAAGGTTATAATTACTTTCCAAGCACAACATATTTGTAAGATAAATGGCAGAATTCCGGTGATGCAGCTGTTAACCTTGTATTTCTCAACATGCACCTGAAAAGGAAGGATGTTTCTAATTTAATAAACTGATTGTAATAACACCTTCAGAACTGCTCTTTAGAATACCGCGATACCAATGTTGTTGCATCTATTCTTTGCATGTACTTGGCGTTTTTAATTCACAACCCAGCACTATTCAATATTACAAATGCACTCATATTATAATGGTACACACCTGTTCTGAAGCACCAAGATGACATCACCAGCATCAGGCTGCTGCGTCATAATGGAAATACTAACAAGTCAAAGGCAGCTGTTTCTCCTTCAAGCTTGGTTCAGCCTGCCTTCATTTTGTTTGTAGTTCCAGCTTTGTTTTAAATCAGTGTATTAAGAACCTTCAATAATTAGGCAGATATGGCAAATTGGACACAAACTTTTGAAACACATTTTGGAGTGTAAGAGGTACATCTTTCTATGTTTCAGTCCATAGTAATTACATTTTCTCACACACACACTTCATAAACATTTAGATCAATGCATCTAAAAAGAAAGATTAGAAAAATTACTGATCTGGAATCAAAATATAGATTATTTTTTAATCTGAGTAACAAAAATATGGATTAAAATCTAGAAGGAAGGTAGTGGTGACACCATGGTCTTAATTTTTCCCCATACCAACTAAATTAAAAATCTTTATCATACTAGCATTCACTTCATGCCCATTCCTCTAGATTTATTCTATTTCAATATTATACAGCTGCATTGATAATGTAAGATATAATGTAATAATACAGAGAACTACTGATATTTATTTGCAATCCCACATGACAAGATTTTGAAAATCCTTGAGACATACATTAGCCTTTATTAATATTGCTCAGAATAATTCCTCAAATCTATAAGAACTTAACAAATGATTTTAAATTCCTTGTTCCATATCAATCTTTGGTTTGTAATTAATACTAGCATAAGCCAAACATAAGACAATATGGACACTTTTCACAAATGCATACCTTTTTAAACTTCTTTTAATAGAGTCAACTTTTTGGATATTGGGTCACAGGAATCTTTTTCCTGGATGTACAGCATACTGCATTATCACTGATTAAATCCATTTGAGTATGGAAATGTATGTTCAGATATGAAAGTAAAATATAAAATGTTATTCTTATTCATTGAAAACACGTGTAAGACCGAGATGAACGTACATTACCAGTTACACAAAGTCCTCTGCCTCAAGATGCTATGAGTTGAACCCAGAATTAACAAGATTTTAATCTGAAAAAGCAAATGTAAAGATTCCCCTTTTTTATTTTCTGCTTTCAAGTAGTACGTCCCCATTAGATTCCAGCCAACAAGCTTCCAGCCAACAAGCTGTGAAGATTCTCAGTTGTCTTCCCACTCCTCTGCTTCATCGCTGTTTTCAAATGCTCTCATCATCACTCATATCCCAGATCTGAAAAGGAAAGTGAAACGTGCTGTGAATGAAATTATGAATTACTATTTAAGAAGACTATTGGAATCAGTCCATAAATACATAATCCCTGTTGAACTCAGATAAGGAGAAAAGGCTGGCCATGGCATTCTTTTCTCACAGTTTGCCATTGTAATCCTAGCATTGTGTGATCTTGCACTGTCTTGCTAGAATATCAACATTTATGGAATGGTCTGCAGAAATTGCAAGACTATTAACTCATTGACATCATTAATGTATTGCCGAGCAGTAAAGTTGTCCTCAACCTGCAACAAAAGTGTTCTTGTGTTAAATGAGATTCCCCTTCACACTTTCCCTGTCTCACCAGTTGAAGTAAACAGTAATCATAATGCTCACTACGACATCTCTGCAAGTCTTTGTCTTGAGAAATGGAAATTTCAGCTGTCAACATTATCCCCGAATGACCTCTGAGCATGAACCTAATTTGTATGCAAATGGTGAGCTATAGCCCATTCAGGTTATTTCTTCCTGGAATTTCTTGTGCTTTAACCCACCATATTCTGAAAACAATTACACAGATAAATAAGACAAATGTGACAGCCCAGTGCTGGTATGGAGACATCTTGCCTTCTAGGATATGTCTTGTCCCACAAAAGGCTGGACTGTTTGTTTCTCTGGACTAGTCTGCCAGTTACTTAAAGCATCACATTCTTCAGGCAACCTCTTCAACAGACAGACCTCTCAAACAATCATGTTAATAACAATCTGGTGATCTTCATTACACAGGTGGGGGGCATGGTCATATCTTAAGCTGCATTTTATGTCTATTTTATATTTATAATTTAATATTTCTATTAAATTGTATATTCATAATTTATATAATGATAAAGAAAAGATTTATTTATAGCTTTTATTTAGCTGTTTCTATTCAACAACCTATTTGTGTTAAGGTTTACTCAATTCCAATGCCTAACATGATGCTCCTGGCAATCCAATGGAATAACATCAGGTAAGCTCAGTATTTTGCCATCCTTAGAAAGAATTATACTCAAAACAATAAGTATATGTGCAATTTTTCCATCAAACAGGCAATTATATATAATTATAAATGGCTCATTGTTTTCAGATCGAAGCTGTAATGTTTGGTTATGTTTAGAATAATTCTGCAACATTGTATTTGTTTTGAAAAACCTTATTTGCAATAAAAAGTCAGTGCTTTAGAAATGTAATAATACTTTGTAAAAATGCTCAACAAATATTTATACAAGCACAATAAATTAGGATTCTATCTATTTCACAAATAAACAAATCACTTATACCTGCAACAACTTCATAATTCTAACTGTAAACATTTTGCAAAACGTACAGTTATTTATAAAACACCTCAGACCCAAGTTACAAGTATTACAATTGAGTAGTTAATCAAATAATTACATCTACTATGTACCCAGGAGCTCACATTGAACCAAATAAAGAATTAGGCTCTCCAGAAATTGAGTTTGACACCCATGGACAAGATACTTCTGGCCAGACTCATTGTGGCCTATCCCTACTTGTGACCATCTCTGGCTAGAATCTGCTGGCTGTGATTACACAAAACTACAAATAGGGAGCAAAAGTATGCTTTGAGCCTCTAACATACTGTACCAATAGCATGAAGACATTGTTGTCTTGTTAACTTGTGTAAATTGGTTCCTTTATTTTGCTTTCTTAAATTTTACCAGGCCGGACATTCACCAGCTTAAATCATCTCATCACCTATGCCCAACAAACTCTCTCACTGATGAGGTGATTCAGTGCTCGTACAACATTCAAAAGTATTTCACTATAAGTCCTTAATGATTAATCAAAATGATGCCAAAAACATTTAATCAATATCCAGATTGTATTTTCCTAGAAGCATACATGCATAAAAAGTATTCTTCACACCTGAAGAAGGCTCCACGGCCGAAACGTTGTGTTCTCTTTCTTCTTTTTTTCAGCGTGGAATAAACCTATTACTTGTTCCTTTGCATAAAAAGTGACATGTTTCCTCTGATGCTCAGTATATACAGTTATGTCCGTCACATCTAAAATGATTCATTTAATAAAAGTTCACTTTTATACCTTTTCTATTTAAACACATGCTGGTTGGTGGACACGTACAATGGGTTCCTGGAATCTAATGTATATATTTCCTGGATTGTTTGTGTGCTTGTTTGTGATTTTGCCTCTCTTCACTCATTGCTGCGATAGTTTCATTTTCTCTACATGGCAAATATAAGTAAGTAAATAAATAAGTATTTAAATATAAGTAAGTAAATCTGGCAAACTATATCTGTGTTCTTCTCTTATTATACTGTATATATGTATGTATGCATTTAAGATTCCCAACACATCTTTTTGATTTCATCTGGGACCAAGTTAATATTTGCTTACAAGCCAAACAACAAATCTGTCTTTCATAACAGAAAAATACATCAGCAACCCCAAGTAATGAGCTAAGAATAAGTAACTACACTAAACATCTGCTAGGGCGTCTCATGTCATGTGCCACAAAGGGTTTGAAGTCTAAAACTCAATTTTGTATTTCTGAAAATTCACTTTTGCTTTTCTTGGGGATGTCCTTACAGAAGAAATATACTTAATTTTCTCAAGCTGCCCATTTGCACTTCCAAAACTGTTTTTTTTTTAAAAAAAAAAACAAGGCTAGGCTTGTTTCTAATCAGGCCTGAGAGTACTCATATCTATCATTTAAAAGTTGCACCAGAAAAAGAAACTGGTACAAGCTTATATTACTTTTTATTGTTTGACACAAAACTACAAATAACACAAGCAGTCCAGTGTTGAAGATAATTAGTAATGTCTCAACATACAAACTTTGAACATGCCCATGCCAGTAACATAAAAGTGAAACAGTTCACCAAAATGCCAGGTTGATTCCTTTTAATGACTCTCCCACTTCAATTGGTAAAGCAGTAAAAACAGAGTCTCATGTCTTGATTTTGAACTATCCTGCGTCACAACCAAACTTAACTAGATTTTTATAATCCAAACACACTCACATTTTGAGCATTAAACTTGTTAGAACTTGTAAAAACATTCCATAAAGACTCCAAAGTTATCTGCCCAATCACCACATTTTTTTTCACAAGCAATGGAATAACTGTGTTCTAAACCAGAAACACATGTAGCATAGAACTGGACATGTGGTGTACGTACAGTATAGACAATACTGCATATCTACTTGTTTGAGACATCTAGTGTCAGTGGTTCTGACAAAGCTAATGGCTTTGTCACAACCATTGACATTAAGGACTGAAAGCACACGTGATGTGACCTAACCCATAATGGACTTTGTAAAGAGAAAATTGATTTGATTCAAAGAAATAAAGTAACAGAACCACAGCAATTAAGTGTTAAACACTATTCTACCAACATAAAAATGCTTTTCCATGTACTTGAATCTGCATTTTGCCTTGGGTTAATGCAGTATTTGATTGCATCTGAATTATATGCACAGTACTGTATATAAGACGTGCAAGATGGATATTTAATTATTTGATTTTTTTTTCCTGCAGTCCTCTAATTAATCTTTGATGTCTAATGGCAAGCTCCAAGTTTTCATCTATGATTTGACTGTCTTGTAATTGTTTTTCATTATCAAGGTGGATTTTATGTAACCTATTAGAAAAGACTCCTTCTTGAGGACATACAACAACCTCCCCCACAATACAATGTGTCAGCATCTTTCAACACAAACCCTCAGAATAAATCAGGAAAATGCAGCCAAGAAACCATGACTGAATGCTGTCACTGTAGGTTTGTACTATAATTTGTCAGACTGCTAATGTTTCAAAAACATTTCTGCAATTTTAACAACTGATACCACTACAAAACAAAAGGAACAATTTTGATTTTCAGGAATTGGTAGCCATTGTCTTTGTTTCTAAAAAAATGTTAAACAATAAATGTTAAAGTATTGTTAATTTAAGGATAGAGAAGATAATTCCATCTTCAAAAATATTACCATGTCCAAATAATGTTGAATGTGCACTCTTAAAAATGTAATTCCACAGAAGGGCCTACATGTAAAACAGGCTACAACACGCAGCTCACAAAACAAAAAGAACTAAAGCTTTAAAGACATCTGTAACAGTCTGCGCTACAGTTTACATATTAATCCTTCCTGATAAAAGTACATATTCAGGTAGCTAAAAATTTGTAATGCTGGCAGCATAAAGTTACCTATCTTTTCATGTACCTGTAAAATATACCACACGGATGCAAACAACCTTAAATATTCACTTGTACTGTCAAGAGGGAAAATCCCATTAAAAAATGATCTATGATTGATATTTTCAGCAGAGCATCTGGGATTTGTGACGGGTTTCCTTTGTGACAAGTTTTGGGGGTTCAGAGAGTTAAGGATGTGGGTCACAGGCCAGAGCTGCTCTATAGCGCTGTACACCTGGAGCAGCAAGGACTCAGGCTCCTGTGCGCTAATGACAGGGAGGACACTCCACAACACGGCCCTTTATTCCTTCGCACCTGGGCGTTCACTGGCAGCTTACCTGATTTAGCTTTCCGCACGATTCACATGCAAATCGAAAGCCCAGCCTGAACAAAGGCAAAGACAAACAGGCAATAACGCCGATGTTAAAGCTGGCCGAATGCTTCACTTTGAAGTCTCTGCCCCCGATTCCTGCCCAAGTGCTCTCGGCAAAGCTACCGTTTCCAAATCATGGAGAGAGCGTGACACATTCGTTTCAACTTCAAAGGCTGGTTTCCCTCAGTGAGTGTCACACTCCCAAATTAATCACGTTTCCAGACCGTTTCCACAGGAAGTTGCACTGCCATGCTAGTTAACTCGAGGCAAATCACATATACATCAGAAAGGATCTCTTGGAGACCTGAGAAGCACTTCCATGTCTCTAAATAAGCCCGGCCTGCCGTCAGTCTGAGATTCCCTGAATTCCACTTACCCTCATTACAGGTGGAAATACATTTCAGCTATTTAAGGAAACATGAAATGCACAGATATTCTTTATACCAGGTGTCCCCATGTCTGGTTTTCAAATCTAATTGGTTTTCTGGGTCTCTATTTTTCTTGGTTGTATCTAGTCATCATCTCCAGAACTTAGACTTTAGATCACTGGTTTGGTTTTTCCACAGCCAGTGCCCCAGTATAGTAAAACTAAGGTCCTGATTACTTGGTCACTGTTTGTCAGGGCGGGGGTGTTAATCTCAATGTTCTGGATACATTTCACTCTGGGGTTGGGAAATGTGACTCCCTAAAGTTCCCTCTTATTTAACAGGTGAAATACAGTAATTCTCCACCTGATTTGAAAAGCAGTGGGACTACTGCCTCGCATCAGCTACTGTAGGTGAGTGTTGCATTTCGGTGATGGGCCAACTGTATGTAAGAGCTCTGGATTCCTTTGGGATGAAAAGCAGTCTATGAACACAGTTTATTATTTAACAATACACAGAAAATTTAATTTGCCAAAAATCTGTCTTTCATAGAACTGAGCAGTTTTATACTGTATATACTGTAGTAGTAACTCAGCTCAAACACTGCCAGTAATATCAGGATGAGATCACGAAAACCTTTAGTTTTTCAGTTTTAATATCCATCACATCCCGAGTAACCGATTTACTCTCTGAATTGATATGAATGACCACAATAAATGAATGTTATGTGTAAAAGTCTGCTGATACTCAGAACGGGAACTTCAGATTACAACAAAAAGATTCTTCATAAACAATCCTTTTAGTGGTTTTGGCATATCAGCGTGGCCTTGTTTTTCAAAAAACAGTGAAACTATAATTATGTGTGTCATAATGTTAATTACACACTGGTTCCTGGGTCTTTTAAACTGTTTCTGCTTTATATAAACAAGGAGTATATAATGGTTTGCTCGTAATTGAATGTAATAAATTTTAACATGTACCAGCTTGGTCTCTTTGCTTTTGTGCCTTTTATTTAATGTCTTATCTGTTTATATTTTTTCACACCATGTGCATATAGTGAGGCCTAATTAGGGGCATGCTCCCTTGCAGCTCATCTGCTAAATGTGTTAATCCTAGACTTCTCTCTTTTTACATGTCATAATACATACTGTAGAATACGTAACATTACATAAGCTCAGAAACCAAGCAAAGGTGCCTCAGAAATGAATGGTGCTGTCACCGTGTTTGTAACATCTTAGAAAAATGGCTAAAGCAAAACATAAAAAGTGTTGTACAGTAGCGATAACTTAACTTATCTTACAATGACCATAGATGTGTCCCAAAAATGAAATAAGTCTCTCAGAAATGTTCAGTTGCTGTACATCAAACCTTGACATTGTTACTGCAGTGGTGAAAATGGTTGACAAAATGCTCCTTGGGTATTTATGTCACCTTCTTTTTGTTGCTTAATTAAACCCTACCTTGTTTATGGAGAGGGCTGAAGCTGAAATGGTTTAAGACATTTAATGCTGTACAGCTTATGAGAACAACACTCCTCCTGGCTATGTTACTATTAAGTCTTGTGAGATTCTGTTCCTCCTTATTTTGTCTCATCTCACTAATCCTCAGGGGCTTAACTGTGTAGGTCTCTTCAAGAGCATCACTAAGAACAAAAAAAACATTAAATCTACCACACTACATAATTAGTCATCCTGAATAACATATTGACATCAAAAGAGATCTTTTTGATGTTTGGGGATGAAAGATTGTTTTGGATTTTCCTGGAGTTAAGTCTAACTAATTTATTCAGAGACTCGGTTTGCTTTGTGTTCCAAGTATACTCACATAAATTCAACACAAGAACTGTCAAAAGAGGTGAAATTAGCTACAACAGGTTGGTGTTTTGTGGCAGGTTAAAAATAAACAGGATTCCTTATCATATATACTACAGGACAGGTTACAAAATATAACCAACCTTAATGTTAACAAACCAGTGTTGCACAGTTAATTATTCTGAAGTGATAGTCCACACCCAAAAAGAACCAAAGTGCATTTTGGTTTGGGCTAATGTGACCTAATTGGTAAGTGTGTTTATTACTTTATACACTTATTTTTCTTGAATTATAGAAATTAGCATGATGTCCTCTTAATTGTGATCATTGTTTCAAAAGGGTTCATTTGAGCTTCAATGGGAATAGATGACAAAAGGATGTAAACTACTTTGTATTCAACTACTTGACGTGATTTAATGGTGGATGTGTTTTTGGCTAATTCAGCCCACTCAGATTTTCATTAGGAACATTTCTCAGATTCACAGTATTTCTACCAAAGAAACTCCTTCACAGCTTAACAAGAGAGGTTTTCTGAATATTATATGTTACATCAGAGGTCTAACATCTAGCACAAAGATGTAATATGTCACATTTCAAAATGGTTACACATTAACCTTACCAGAACTGCCCTACACATGGGAAAGGGGCTAGTAAGGCTCAACTAGAAAAATGTGGTACACTGCCAAGAAAAAAAAGATTTAACAAATGAACCCATAAATTAGCAATATCTAGAAAGATAATTTTAGATTCTTCCTCTAACATTTGAAAACCAGGTGCATTTCACTTCGTATAGTGAAACCCACAAACATACACATGTAAAAATTCTGATACTGTACATAGTTGGACAGAGGTCTCTGTAAATGGTGCTACAACTCAGATTTTAGACTTTAGGAAGCATTTAAATAGAATCATGTTGTAAGGCTCAATGATACTCTGATTATATCCCATTACGTAAACAGGGTTTAAACTTAATCATTATGGTTTAAGTCGGTTCTCCAAAGCATATGCTTTTAGCATTTCATTTTTTTCCATCAACCCCCACAAAAATATTAAAAGCAGGGTGTGACCTGTCATATTTCTTCAGGGCTCATAATATGGACATCCCTTACAAAAAGCTCTGCCCCAGGGGATTCTAATTGCTTACATGTGCATATCTTTAAATTTCACACCACACAACCTACAGGGGATCCAAAATGTTCTCTTGGGATGACTTATTGTTATTTTTATGGAACCAGTGACCTTAAAGTTGAAATGCTCTTTGATATTTTAGACAATTACATTTTCTGGTGCTTTGCCTTTCTGTATCCTTTAATGTTCCATGGGCTCCAACATAGTTGAGATTTTAAATGTGAGATTACTCTTGTAATAAAGAACGGTACTGCTCTTCACAGATGGTACCTTGGAAAATAAACCCCTGCCCCATTTATTTTTGCTTTTTTCAGTGACCATGAGCTTAAATCTGGTTGACACCAGCACTTAAAGAACATTTTGGAAAAGAAGAAAAGCCCATTCTGAAAAGCCTGTCTCCTTTTTTTAGAGCCCACAAAAAGTCACAGAAGGGAAACATCACACCAGCAAAAGAGGAAATGCCCTCCAGCCACGAAAAAGAAGAAACTAAGGTGAGATATGAAAGGTGAACTACTAAGACAACTACACAAAGTAAGGCACCACGAACAGGAGCAAAGAGAAACATACTGTTACAGAACTGGTTTTATTGGCCTACTTTCTTGTTAATAAACATCAAAAGAAGAAGCAGCGGAAAAGCTTTCAAACGGATAAGCTCAAAAGCAGAAATAAGGCCCCTCTTTGGACTCACTCCATCAGTGCAGCTTTGCATGTGTGTGATCCTTTGTGCAGACCAAGGAAGAAAGAGGGAAAAAAAAGACTTATGTAACCTGAATAGCACTATCTTTTGCCAACAATTTACTACAGTCTCATTCAAATGCTCTGAATTTTTTCAAAACTTTTATGGATATGAATCCCCACGTAAGCTTTTTTTTTTTTTGGACTCAGCCAAGATTATTTTTCTGTGAGTTTCTCGAGAACCTTGAATCCATTAAAAACCTTACTGGAGTTTTATTACGCAATTTCAGAAACATTTGGTCTATCACTAGCTACAAATTTATAATAAAAATAGGATTTAAACTTCAATGAAAGGAGGCAGATAAAGGAAAAGGGTTCAGAACAAAAAATAGGTACTCATTCTATTTTTATATTCTATTATCTTTTATCATTCACAGGAAAACATTCCAACTTTTTTTCATTGCCAACAACGAGCACTGTTTCATGCAAAGCCAACTGAAAAACAGAGCTTGCTCTTGTTTTCTGAAACCTTGTGAATTCAACAATAAGAAATTAACAAGGAGACCCTCTCAGCTTTCTCCTACAGACTGGTCCTTCATCAGCTGGTTATGTCACATCTATGCAAAAAAGCTACTGCTAATTGTGTAGACGCAATTCTGGGTTTCTTAACATTGAAGAAGAAATATATGTACAATATTTAAAAATTTAACTTCATTTTCAAAGAAAAAGAAAATGCTGCATTATAACTGCACCTACATAAAAACCTTAAATTACCCTGCCTTCCTTTGGGGTGGTTAAAGTAATAATCCAAACTGATGGAGTCTGAAGTAATTCTTATAAATCACTACAATAAAGATTACTATCATATTCTTACACAAAATATTTAATAAAGCTAAAGCCTTTCAGAAAGAAAAACTCTATATTCTTTCCAATACATTGACAAGAAGTATAACTGTTCATAAAGCTTTATATTTTTAATTTCCAATTGTCTGCTAACAAAACTAAGGTTATCCTTTTTTAGCATTTCACATCAATGAAAAAACGTCTTAATTTTCCCAGACTAAGTCACGACAAAATGGACAAATTCAAGCTTGGTATCTGCAGCAGTGATCCCCTCTTTAATCTTTTGGGTACTGACATATATAACGAGATCACAATCAAGCTTGTACAAACAAAATGAATCTGCAAACAATTATTTTTCAGACACCAGCCAACATAGCTAAGTTGTGTTTTCTTTCCCACAATAAGAATCATCTGAACTATCAAACTAAAACATTACAGCCTTTTCTACAAAGTTTTTTTAAACTGTACCGATAGACATAGAGATGAGAAGGATGAGTGTAGTGTTTGGGTAAGGGCATTTTTGATTGTCATAAAAATCAACATAATATTACTTTATTCTTTATTACTTTATTCACAATGTGCAAATAAGATCAGAGGCTGAGATAATTGATAAAGCGATAACGTTTACACTTACCTTGAACATGTCTTTTTACAGTATATATAAAGGGACTCTCAGGCTATGCATCACTTATGCAAATTCAACTTTACATAAAACCAGAGTTAATCAATTTAAAAAAAATCAGGCATAGTCTCTTATTCATATTTTTAAGTATGAACTGCTTACAGCTGCACAGTGATTCTTTAAATTAATTTTACTATTTAATCCATGCATTTATATTCTATATAGTCTATTTAATCAGCGAATGATTTCATTTTATTGTAGAACATGATGTATTCATTATGTTACAAACTCTGCACATGACCTAAGCAGTGTATAAAATAATATGACACCAGAGTGACTTCCATAAAAATTTCCATAAAATTTGATTTTAAGGTTTACAGAACTATTTGGTCCGAGACACTGAATTAGTGGCGATATTTCCGCATGTTTTAGACAAAGTAATACTAGGAAGCACACAATCACACAAATTTGTGTTCCTGTTTTTGGGGAGACCACACACTGGCTCCCATTCTTCTTCATTACAACTTTCTTCTCCACACAGGATGAAAGTTCCTGATACAAATAGTTTCAGTATTTCTGAAATTCAAAAGAAGAAGCAATTTGTTTTCATTGAGAGACCCCCCCCCTCCCAATACACACACGCACACACACCATCAAGCGTTTGCCAGAAATGACAACAGTGTAAGAAACTATTCTCAAAATGTATCCCCACACTGAAAGTAATACACAAAATACACAGATCACCAACATCTGCTCATGAAAAACAGGTGTCTCTTAAAAAAAAAGCGCAATAAAGAAAAAATGCAGTTCGTTCTCCCACAAAGGCCTCAAATATTTGAGACTAACAGGAAAGAGGTTAAACGCCAAAGCAAAAAGGGTGTGCCAAATAACACAGAAAAGGCACGCTGCCCCTGTGTACGAGGGGGGTTGTAGTGAAGTTCAGAAAGGGTGCAGCCAGACCAGGAGGACAAAAAAATCTGATTACGATACTGAACCAGCAGCAGTGTTACAACCTCGCAGTCTGGTTTTGTTGGAGCACAGAAGTGAAGCAAGGCTCAGCCTTTTCAGCACTTTGGTGGTAGGTCTACGAAAGGAAATTCAGGTTGCTGCCATAAGTGGTGCTGGTGGACGAAACTAGACAGAAAGAACCAATGAACCAGTATGGTCACCAGGGAAACTGTCCAGTGGATGGTGTCGGCCTTTGGATGAGATATGGGACAGAGGTCCTGATTACTTTGCTCATAAAAAATCTCATGGTACTTTAAGAGTAGGCATTCATAGAATCTACATAAAGTTCCCTCATAATCTAATTGGTGAAACTATTTCACACTTCTTTACCTGATATAGTGTGTAAGGAACAGCCATTCATTAAGACCAGCTGCTGCTTGATAAGGTCTCCTCCTATATGTAAAATTGCTTTGGATTCCTTTGGGATAAGAAGCGATACATAAATACAATAAATTAATTAGTAAACACTAGTGCCAGACCCTTTCAAAATGAATCCAAATTCACCAGTATACTTTAACACTTTAGCTGGAAAACAAAAAGGTCATACAAGCAAGTACATGGATCATTCTAATTTCTGTGCTGAAATGCACTATGGAGTAAATAAAAAAACAACTGAATTTTCATTCTAATTATAATGTGCACTGCAGTTTGAAATATAGAAATGGCGTTTATATACATATTTATTTTTTACATTAGCCTTCTGCCTTTCATTATTTCATGTGCCACCAACAAATGCAGAAATTTTTAATTAAAAGCCCACACAAACAGAAAAGTTTTAACGGCATTTGGTCGTCAGTGTATATTGATCACGCAAGCACGAGGGCACTTATATAGACACCAGCAGTACGACGCTTCCTCTGATGAGTGATACAAAGCTTGTGGTTGGACACTGATCTCTGCATAAATGGCTCATTTTGACTTATACAATTTAATTTCCCCTAAGAACAAGCTAGAGGCTTTTCAGAAATCTGTCCTACTGCCAGTAAGATTTCTACATTCAAAAAACAATGGTTTTGAACCAGCAAAAACAATAGCAACAATGCCTCCTTTGTTATTCGTCTCACCTATTACTCAACAGTAGTGAGATGTTTAACAACAGTGGTGATTCTATAAATAATGTTTTCTTTAGTTTATAGAGTAGCATAGCTTATTAAAAACATTCTCAACCAATAAACCCATTGCATGCTCTTATCAAGAGAATTCTCTTAGTGGCAATCAGCTTCCATTAGCTTCACTTAAAAAAACATGTTCTAAATTATTTGGAGAAGAGGTTTCGGAGACATATTAAGATATGAACAGAAAGCTTGGTGGTCTCAAACTTGTTTTCATTTTAGGACTGGTATAATGAAATGTTAATTAAATATTAATTTTACAGCAGACCTCACAGATTTATGGTAAATTTTGATCTTTCAATTTTGGGGATTACTTAAATTGCTCTTGTAGTTTCATTGATATTTGCATTTTATTGTTCCATATGTTTTCAAGATGTCTGAGAACAGTGCAAGACTAGTGGTGTCAACTGTAATGAACTGAGAATCCCTCTAGAGCCAGATTCTGCTAAAATATTCTTTTAAACCATCACTCTTACTCCTAATACTAACCAGGCTGTGAAAATCAAGAGCATTTTCGTATTCGTATTTTGACAGCTACCTACAAAACATTCTTCAGCAAACATGCTCTTCTTCTTCCATGTCTTCCTGTCTGTGTATGACCACATTATGTGTGTTATTTTAAAAGAGTAAATTGTGTTCACCTGGCCCCCTCCCACAAAAAGTCAATTAGTTTTTCAGTCTAAATGGTTCTCTCACAAGCAGTTCCACCTGACATATCTGCAAAACGTTTCTTGCTTAGTCTTGACCGTTTGTGGAATGATGTGTGGGGGAAAAAAACAACAAATTGTCTGAACACTTCACAAGTCGGCCAGTCTAAAGTTTTGGTTTGATTTTGAAGTGAAACATTTTAAAACAAAAACGTCTCTTCACAGCAATGTGATCTGTGACACTCAGATGCTTGTTTTTGCACAAAAGCCGAGATTAGTCAAGCAAATTACACAATGTGGTCTCTATTGCGACAATAGCAGTCAACCAAAATCTCCAACAAAGTTGGAAGTGCTGTAATACGCGTGTTTGCTTCCCCACAACACTTGTTTGGTGGCAAAACAACTCTTTCCTGACAATAACCTTTTCTTCCAGTAAGTTAACACCCAGTTATTATTAGTAAATACCTGCAGACCCACAAAGACGCTCTTCCAGGAATGGCAAGCCTTGTCTGGTTGCACATGGATATACTTGTAAATTGTCTGGATGTGCAATGTTTTTTTATGACATTCTCCCTGGTTGCATTTTAAAAGGGAGAGACTGTCCCACTGCATTGTAACCAAATGTTTACACCCTTTTGCCTTTCTCCTATGTACCACAGGGCAATTTGTCAAGATTCGATATTTACTTCCATCAGCTCCATCGTCATGAAGGAACCCACAGATTACTCTTTGTACAAAGAACTCTTTTCTTGCTGTGGTGTTTATGAAAATAAATGGGGATGATTTCAAGTTTCTTTTAACTCCTTCCAAGTGGCAGGCATTTATTACATATAAACTGTGTATGTAATACTGTTAAAAACAAAAGGAGGCTTTGTAATCGGTGAAACAAGAAAAGCCTAAGGCCTTTAAAAGCCAGATATTCAATCAGTCGGTGGAAATACTTTTTTCAAATCAGAAGAAAAGCGGACCAAAACTAAGCAGTGTATGTTTGATTTGCCTTAGTCTTCAGTCGTGGATTAATATTCACTTGATTCTTTGAGCACAGAAAGGCAGGAGAAAGCTGAGGACACATTTGGGAAAGAGTTCACAAAGTTATACTGTATCGTCAGCTTTTACCCTGTCGTAACTGCTGATGTTACTTCCATTAAGTAACTTTCCAGAAGCATAATGGATTCAAAGCAAATTTAAGAATGGAACAATAATCAAGAAAACAAGTTCTAAATTTTACTAAATTGTGAATGACAAATAAACCTTATTAACTGACCTAAACCCCATTAACAAAACTGAACATATCCACGGTCCCTCTTGTTATTGTTAACCTCCTTACTGTCATTACAGCGACAGTTTTTTAAAGGGGGCTTTCACACAAACAATTACAGATTCTGTCTGCTCCAATCTCCTGGACAGGAAATGACTTGTGCTTTATAGAGGCTATGATCTGAAGAATGCAAGTGTTTGCCAATGGCCTGTAAACAACAAAGTCTGTTTTGATTCGAAACACTGCTTGAGTGATGCTTTAAAGGTTATAGTGCTTCAATTAAAGTGACATCAACTGGCAATCTCTTTTTCTGACTACTTCTGAGCAAAGAAATAAAAAATTAAACGTATATTATGGGCTTTACAAAAACCTTCACGCTTATGTATTTTCCAAATAGAAGACTAGAAATTAATAACACAATAGAGATCTTCTAAATTGGACACAGGAAGAATTGACAATCCTGACTCTTTGTTTTGTTTTTATATACACAGTCATTTACTGTAATTGCTAATTATTATTCCAGAAGAAGGTGTTTCATTTTTTATTATGTCAGCTAGAATGCCAGATTCATTTATGCCTTAAACCAAAGAAAAGAAACGCCTAAAAGCCTTGTGCCCCATGATGTCATCATTCCACCTGATTCCCACGATTCCCAGTGTCCGCAAGAGTGTATTAACAGCAGCACAATCTGAACATCTTGTTTGTTGCCTGAGAATTAAGCTGAGAAAAGCAATTTCATGCAGGGGATATCAGCACTGATGAACTGAAGGCAGAATACTGGGTGCAATTTCTAGTGGACAACTAAAGAAAAAAGCCTCTCCAGACACAATTTACCCTGCTCTGATTAGAACATTCTTAAACCCCTAAATAGTCTAAGCTTCATTCAGGCTAGGACTGCTATGTAAAGTATTAAAAAAGACCCCAAAATAATAAAAAAACATATCCTTTCAATGTGAAAGCCGATACTGGAAGGTGCACATGCATTACAACTTTTAATCAGCAGTTAGTACGCTTCTGTGTGTCATCATGTCAAAGGTGTTTTTAACGTGTTATTTTTTTAACGTGTTATTATATTTTATTAAGAAACAACAGTAATTACAATAATAACAGCAACAGCAGGGAAAAAAAAAAGCAGAAGCGCCATGACATAATTTTGCACACCACAGCAAATGGTTATAAAAAACAACATCCTTCTGTTGTATTTTGTTAATCCAATGGATGCCACTGCTTCCTGGATATAAACCGTGGGGAATTACATTTTGAAAGTGTTATATCTATAGGACATTTCCATGGGAAAGAGCACTAATTTAGTGTCTGCTGAAACAGTCCCCAATGCTGAGCTCAGAAAAGTACTGGACAGCTGTGGTATTGGTTGAGCAGCCTGTGTGCTCTGTTGATCCTATGTACTTTCCTGGTTCTCAGTCTAAATCACATTAGAGAAATCACTGTTCACAGAGGGAATCAGGAAAATATATATAGTTTATATCTCTATATATAGTTTTTTTTCATAGGTATGTTCCCTTTATTTCTCCTGAAGGTGGCACAAGCTAGAAGAGAAATACAATCCTATAAACAGTTATAGCTGCCTTAGTCGGATGTGGTAACTGGAAATGTGTGCTTTTCCAGACTTGATTATTCATCTCAACCATTAGCATGGTGTTTACAGCAATATTTAGTTACAAAGCCTGAGCCGTGAACATAGACAAATAAAACTGCAGAGTTTATAGAAATAAATCTAACAATAAAGCCTGGATTGTTATATTTCCAGGTGAAAGTGATTCATCTGTTACCAAGTCTAAAATAAATCTATTTAAGAAAAAAACAACAGATGAATTTGAGGAGATTAAGCTCTTTCCCCTTCTCTGAGGCCTCTGACTTACTAGCATATCCAAGCCCTCCATCATCTTCCACCCCTATGTAGCTAATCTTGAAGTGCTTGTTTTTCTCAAAAACAGTTCTAATGCACATTCCCTCAGGAGTGTGACTCAACGCCATTTACTTTCAGCACATACAACCAAAGATTTCTACAAACATATTCTGTTTGAAACACTGCAGCAGAGAGACACCAAGTAAAAGAATAAGAAGGGAACAAATGTGAATGCAATTAATCAGAGAACAAAGATAGGAACGATCTTTTATTTTTGTAGGGATTCAGAGGCATGGTAGCTACAAAAACAAATCCGTTCTGACATGGGTGTGGTGATCAAGCAAACTACAGCTGTGGTTTGCTGCTCCTCTGTACAGAGAAGCTGTCTGATTCTTTTTTTGCTGCAGGCAAGTGAATGCTGTGACATGGTGACATATTTCCTTTCCTATATACCAAAGCAAATACTTCTGAGTCTTTTAAATTGGTTATAATAGTTTACACAGAACAAGCTTGTAACTCCTACAACATATACATTTTACCCCTAATGTACACACTCTGCCTGCAGTCAGAGAACATTCAAAATATTCAGTAAATAATGAACAAAAAAACATTTTATGAACAAGAGACCTTCTTCAAGATAGTAGGGCGAAGTGCAAATATACTATAATAGCAATGGGTACCACTGTGTACAATTTCTTTCTCAGTCTGCTATTTTGTAGAGAGCAGGTCAGACATCTCTGAAAACTGTTGACATATAAGTATAAGTATACTTATTCCTAAAACAGGTGCCTACCACCCTACTTCTCTACTGTTCACAACATCAGCGGCTCAGTAGTACATAAAACAGATTTCACATGCAGAAAATTCTCTCTTTAAGAAGTTACAAAGACATAACTACCAATAAAGTTAAGAATTTCAAAGCGAATCCAAAACATACTGTATACAATTTACCTTTTTAATTTACTAGTTCTATACAACTATACTTTCAGAAATTAGTAATTAAATGTGTAGATTTTACACCCACTATAATTATAACATAACGTACCAGTTGTCTTTTCAAGGTAATGTCAAATGAAAGCAGAAAGGGACGGGCTGTGTCTTGTGTGCTTTTAAAGACAAACAACAGTGAGGCTTTCAGAACAGAATAATCAGTATTTTGGGGCTTATTTAAAGACCAAACGAGAAGTCACATACAAAAGGGGGATATTAAGTACCGTTAGAGGACAAATCATCAATCACGAAAAGGTACAGTACCTATACATTTTGTAGTTTTAAAATATATATATATACACACATCGTGCATGATTGAACTGCTTTTATATTCCGGTATTATTCTGCCAGCTATGGAAATATATGCTTTGACCAAAACATAGCTTCATTCATTTGGATTTAGGATCTGGATGGATTCTCTGGTATCATTTACAATGTGAAACATAGGTACATTAAAAAAAAAAAACTTCTTGAGCATTTCTAGCTGAAAATACAAAACAACTACAGTGCAAAAGAAGCCTCCACTTCTGAAGTGTGTGACAGCAAGGAAATTGTGCATTGTTGTCAAATGTGCAAACCCCAGCTGGCAACTGGGACGAAAAATGTGGTCGGCCTTATAACCCAGAGCTAACTCAAACCAGATGTGAGTGAGAATGCATAAGGATGAGGAGGAACTCAGAAGGCCTTTGGTAAATACAAAAACATTCAAAAAGTATAGGTAGCACGTTTATAGCAAAAAGTCACCACATTCCTTGGCGAGTTAAAACAGAGCTTGCAAATGCGTAATATCAGGCTTAGGGTAAGAGGACACTAAAGCTGTTAAAGTGCTAGGAAATATTTTAAAATATATATTGTACACCTATACAAAGATATAGTTCAGGTGGGTAGCTGCATCAGCATGTGTAGGCTGCAAAGGAACAAGTAATAGGTTTATTCCATGCTGAAAAAAAGAAGAAGAAAGAGAACACAACGTTTTGGCCATGGAGCCTTCTTCAGGTGTCGACACCTGAAGAAGGCTCCACGGCCGAAACGTTGTGTTCTCTTTCTTCTTTTTTTCAGCATGGAATAAACCTATTACTTGTTCCTATACAAAGATATGTACAGATACATAAGCACATACTCACAATGCATATATTTTCCATAAAAGCAACTGACCATTTCCTATTAGCTGATACAACAACAAAAGAGACAATAAAAAGTGACATAATTCTTAAAAATATAATATAACATACAGGTTGAATTTCTATACTATTGGTGATATTCGCAGTGTACATACACTAATACAGAGTATTCCTCAATTCCATTCCTATAGACTAGTGCATATTTACATAATCAACTTCTCAAAAAAATCTTTTTACACAAAGATCCTGCTTTTTAATTTACCTTATCGATGCCTTTGTGTGTTTATGTCTCTACTGTGAAATAACCTTTTTATTTTTGCAAATCGTGGTTGGTCATAACCTTTTTTTTTAAATGGATGTTGATCCTATTATGATTTGAGCGCAAGTCATCCCTTGGAAAGAAGTGGAAAAAACAGCACTGCTAAATAAACACCTTTCAGAAGAAGAATAAAGACTCAAGAATGCAATTTAAAAGGCAAAATAAAACAACACAGAATGACAAACTTTGATAGGTTTAAATGGGGAAAGTAAGCCAACAAGCATT